ATGATCCACAAATTGTGGACAAACCTGTAAACATAAAGCAGACACCACAACAAAACACACAGTCAGCACAAGCACAACAACAACAACAACAAAACAAAACACCACCACAACAACAACAACAAAAAACACCACAACAAACCAAAACACCTCAGACTCCACTCCACACACCACACACAGAACCACAACATAACAAACAAGAGGAGAAACAAACACCTACAAACAATACAAAACAGTACTCACACATAGGGGAAAACCAAGACACGGAGCTGGAGACAACTCCTGTTCTGTCTCCACAACAGAGCTTCCTGTCCAAGCCGGACATGGAGTTTCTGGATTTTCTGGAAGGAAACTCTCCCTCTCCCCCAAAACCTGTAACATTCAAACCAAAAAGACACATTAGGAAAAAAAAGTGACCCCTAATCACTAACCACCAACCCCTAATTACTAACCACCAACCCCTAATCACTAACCCCTAGCCCTAAAACTAACGCCTAACCAGAATCCTAACCCTAACCCTAACCCTCGGGGATCAAATCTAACCCTGGCCCTATCCCTAACCCTAACCCTAACCCTCGGGGATCAAATCTAACCCTAACCCTGGCCCTGACCCTAACCTCTCTAGCCCTAGCCCTGACCCCTAACCCTAACCTCTAAAAACTAATAATTTATTTTAATTAATTCTTTTTAATCCATTATGGATTATTAGACATTAAAACCATAAATAATACAAATATATATCTCATCTAAAATTTAAAAAGGGAATTAGGGGCTAACATAATTACATCTGTCTTTAAAACTTCAATTTCATTACAAATTTAATGGGCAAACGTTAAAATTGGGCATTACAATTACAATTCATTAAATTAAATAAGTTAAAAAGATTATAAAAAATTCTAATTGGGCATTACAATTATGATTCATTAAAAATTAATCTGTTAAAAGAGGGTAAAAAAATCCAATTGGCCATTAACATTCATGTCATCTAATTTCAGTTGGAATTTATGGGGTTAACTGCACCCAGACGGCCGGGGGCCCCGTCTGGCTCTGCTCTCTCCCACGCCCCTATAAATAACACACGCACACACAGCCCACTTCTCCCACTTCACATATGTCTCCGGAAGAGAAAACATCTCCTACACACACTCAGACAAGTCCAGACATATCCCTTTCTGTGCCCATAGCCTGAAGAAGACCCAAGCGGGTCGAAACGTCGCGACTGGGCACTCTTTTCACCCCTTTATCTTCGATTCTTCATTTTCATACACATTTTATTTAGTTTTCTCACTTTTATTTCATTTTATTTCATTTTTATTTCACAAAAAACAAAAAAAAGCATAAAAAAATAAAGAACAATTCATTTGATACAGTTTTTGTTTTAAATACCTTGATTGGAATAAAAAGGTCAATAGACAGACCAATAAATAAATAAATAGTTTCATAGATACACCACATTAATAAATAACAATAAATAATTAAAAAGGTTAAAACAACAATCATGACTTACGACCAAGAACAATGGACTGAAGTGCGATACGGGAGAAGGCGTGGTCAACGTCCGTATCGCACTAATCAGCAGTACCAAACGGGGTCGTGGGGGACGGGGAACAGGGGGATGGACCGTGCACCTACTGTCTCCTATTCTAGGAGACAGTCCCCCTTTATCCATAAACCTAACCGGCCTGTGCCTCCCCCACGGTTCTCTGCTCCCTCACGTCCCCGCAGACCTGGACCTCCTCCTGATTATCAACCCAAATTTTGGGGACCTCAATCAGGGTCCTATGCATCTGTGCTACACCAGGGAAACCCCACCCGTAACCAGGGGGGATTTCCTCAAAGACGCCCTTATTACCACCAAAAAAACACACAGCAGAGCAGATCCCTGCCGGATCCAAGTACTCATCAAGCACCAGTACATGACCCACAATTTGGACAAAGGGTCAGAAAATTACACACTGTCATTAAAATGGTACACCACCTACAAAATGTGACCCCAGGACCTGAAAAACAGGATCCAAAAATGATTGCACGTATGGTGGATAATTTGGCAACCATGATCAAACCAGCAAATCCAACAACCGACACGCTGGATTTGATCATGGCAAATGCAAAAAACTGGGGCCACACTACACTGCTCATTCTCCAGGACCACTACACCGCTGAGCTGGAGAAAATAAAGGCAGATCTTTCAAAAGAGCCACCTCAAGAGTGGAAGAGCGCCTTCACTGTGGCCACAAGATGGGCTAGAAGGAACCTGCCTCGCATAAAGCAGGAGGTTATTGACCACGCGGAGGCTCTGATAGCCTCCTGTGTGAAGCCTGATGCAGCACAGGACACAGAGACAGCCCCTGCTGAGCCTGCTGCTGCACAGGAAAAAAGACAAAATGATGGTCCACAAATTGTGGACAATCCTGTACATATAAAGCAGACACCACAACAAAACACACAGTCAGTACAAGCACAACAACAACAACAAAACAAAACACCACCACAACAACAACAACAACAAAAAACACCACAACAAACCAAAACACCTCAGACTCCACTCCACACACCACACACAGAACCACAACATAACAAACAAGAGGAGAAACAAACACCTACAAACAATACAAAACAGCACTCACACATAGGGGAAAACCAAGCCACGGAGCTGGAGACGACTCCTGTTCTGTCTCCACAACAGAACTTCCTGTCTAAGCTGGACATGGAGTTTCTGGATTTTCTGGAGGGAAACTCTCCCTCTGCCCCAAAACCTATAACATACAAACCAAAAAGACACATTAGGAAAAAAAAGTGACTCCTAATCACTAACCACCAAACCCTAATTACTAACCACTAACCCCTAATCACTAACCCCTGACCCCCAACCACTAACCACTAGCCCTAAAACTAACGCCTAACCAGAATCCTAACCCTAACCCTAACCCTCGGGGATCAAATCTAACCCTGGCCCTATCCATAACCCTAACCCTAACCCTCGGGGATCAAATCTAACCCTAACCCTAGCCCTAACCCTAACCTCTCTAGCCCTAGCCCTGACCCCTAACCCTAACCTCTAAAAACTAATAATTTATTTTAATTAATTCTTTTTAATCCATTATGGATTATTAGACATTAAAACCATAAATAATACAAATATATATCTCATCTAAAATTTAAAAAGGGAATTAGGGGCTAACATAATTACATCTGTCTTTAAAACTTCAATTTCATTACAAATTTAATGGGCAAACGTTAAAATTGGGCATTACAATTACAATTCATTCAATTAAATAAGTTAAAAAGAGCATAAAAAATTCTAATTGGGCATTACAATTATGATTCATTAAAATTAATCTGTTAAAAGAGGGTAAAAAAATCCAATTGGCCATTAACATTCATGTCATCTAATTTCAGTTGGCATTTATGGGGTTAACTGCACCCAGACGGCCGGGGGCCCCGTCTGGCTCTGCTCTCTCCCACGCCCCTATAAATAACACACGCACACACAGCCCACTTCTCCCACTTCACATATGTCTCCGGAAGAGAAAACATCTCATACACACACTCAGACAAGTCCAGACATATCCCTTTCTGTGCCCATAGCCTGAAGAAGACCCAAGCGGGTCGAAACGTCGCGACTGGGCACTCTTTATTACACCTTTTCTTTATTTCTTCGTCTTCATAGACATATTATTCAGTTTTCTTTCTTTTATTTCATTTTATTTCATTTTGATTTCAGAAAAAAACAAAAAAAGCATAAAAAAATAAGAACAATTCATTTATTTGGTTATACTGTTACACCAATAAATAAATAAATAAATAGTTTAATAAATACACCACATTAATAAATAAGTAATTAATAATTAAAAAGATTAAAAACAATCATGAATTACAATGAGCAAGAATGGACTGAAGTGCGATACGGGAGAAGGCGTGGTCAACGCCCGTATCGCACTAATCAGCAGTACCAAACGGGGTCGTGGGGGATGGGGAACAGGGGGATGGACCGTGCACCTCCTGTCTCCTATTCTAGGAGACAGTCCCCCTATATCCATAAACCTAACCGGCCTGTGCCTCCCCCACGGTTCTCTGCTCCCTCACGTCCCCGCAGACCTGGACCTCCTCCTCATTATCAACCCAGATTTTGGGGACCTCAATCAGGGTCCTATGCATCTGTGCTACACCAGGGAAACCCCACCTGTAACCAGGGGGGGTTTCCTCAAAAACGCCCTTATTTCCACCAAAAAAACACACAGCAGAGCAGATCCCTGCCTGATCCAAGTACTCATCAAGCACCAGTACATGACCCACAATTTGGACAAAGGGTCAGAAAATTACACACTGTCATTAAAATGGTACACCACCTACAAAATGTGACCCCAGGACCTGAAAAACAGGATCCAAAAATGATGGCACGTATGGTGGATAATTTGGCAACCATGATCAAACCAGCAAATCCAACAACCGACACGCTGGATATGATCATGGCGAATGCAAAGAACTGGGGCCACACTACACTGCTCATTCTCCAGGATCACTACACCGCTGAGCTGGAGAAAATACAGGCAGATCTTTCAAAAGAGCCACCTCAAGAGTGGAAGAGCGCCTTCACTGTGGCCACGAGATGGGCTAGGAAGAACCTGCCTCGTATAAAGCAGGAGGTTATTGACCACGCAGAGGCTCTGATAGCCTCTTGTGTGAAGCCTGATGCAGCACAGGACACAGAGACAGCCCCTTCTGAGCCTGCTGCTGCACAGGAAAAACTACAAAATGATGGTCCACAAATTGTGGACAATCCTGTACATATAAAGCAGACACCACAGCAAAACACACAGTCAGCACAAGCACAACAACAACAACAAAACAAAACACCACCACAACAACAACAACAAAAAACACCACAACAAACCAAAACACCTCAGACTCCACTCCACACACCACACACAGAACCACAACATAACAAACAAGAGGAGAAACAAACACCTACAAACAATACAAAACAGCACTCACACATAGGGGAAAACCAAGCCACGGAGCTGGAGACGACTCCTGTTCTGTCTCCACAACAGAACTTCCTGTCTGAGCTGGACATGGAGTTTCTGGATTTTCTGGAGGGAAACTCTCCCTCTGCCCCAAAACCTATAACATACAAACCAAAAAGACACATTAGGAAAAAAAAGTGACCCCTAATCACTAACCACCAACCCCTAATTACTAACCACCAACCCCTAATCACTAACCCCTGACCCCTAACCACTAACCCCTAGCCCTAAAACTAACGCCTAACCAGAATCCTAACCCTAACCCTAACCCTCGGGGATCAAATCTAACCCTGGCCCTATCCCTAACCCTAACCCTAACCCTCGGGGATCAAATCTAACCCTAACCCTATCCCTAACCCTAACCCTAACCCTCGGGGATCAAATCTAACCCTAACCCTGGCCCTGACCCTAACCCTAACCCTCGGGGATCAAATCTAACCCTAACCCTAGCCCTAACCCTAACCTCTCTAGCCCTAGCCCTGACCCCTAACCCTAACCTTTAAAAACTAATAATTTATTTTAATTAATTCTTTTTAATCCATTATTGATTATTAGACATTAAAACCATAAATATTACAAATATATATCTCATCTAAAATTTAAAAAGGGAATTAGGGGCTAACATAATTACATCTGTCTTTAAAAATCAATTTCATTACAATTTAATGGGCAAACGTTAAAATTGGGCATTACAATTACAATTCATTCAATTCATTTCTAATTGGGCATTAAAATAAATTCATTAAATTAAATAAGTTAAAAGAGGATAAAAAATTCTAATTGGGCATTACAATTATGATTCATTAAATTAATCTGTTAAAAGAGGATAAAAAAATCATTACAATTGGCCAATTAACATTCAATGTGTTCTAATTTCAGTTGGCATTTATGGGGTTAACTGCACCCAGACGTATCCAGACGGCCGGGGGCCCCGTCTGGCTCTGCTCTCTCCCACGCCCCTATAAATAACACACGCACACACAGCCCACTTCTCCCACTTCACATATGTCTCCGGAAGAGAAAACATCTCATACACACACTCAGACAAGTCCAGACATATCCCTTTCTGTGCCCATAGCCTGAAGAAGACCCAAGCGGGTCGAAACGTCGCGACTGGGCACTCTTTTTCACCTTTTCTTCGATTCTTCATTTTCATACACATATTATTTAGTTTTCTTTCTTTTTATTTCATTTTATTTCATTTTTATTTCACAAAAAAACAAAAAAAGCATAAAAAAATAAGAACAATTCATTTATACGTTTTGTTTTAAATACCTTGATTAATAAAAAAATAATAGAAGACCAATAAATAAATAAATAGTTTAATAAATACACCACATTAATAAATAAGTAATAAATAATTAAAAAGATTAAAAACAATCATGACTTACAATGAGCAAGAATGGACTGAAGTGCGATACGGGAGAAGGCGTGGTCAACGCCCGTATCGCACTAATCAGCAGTATCAAACGGGGTCGTGGGGGACGGGGAACAGGGGGATGGACCGTGCACCTACTGTCTCCTATTCTAGGAGACAGTCCCCCTATATCCATAAACCTAACCGGCCTGTGCCTCCCCCACGGTTCTCTGCTCCCTCACGTCCCCGCAGACCTGGACCTCCTCCTGATTATCAACCCAAATTTTGGGGACCTCAATCAGGGTCCTATGCATCTGTGCTACACCAGGGAAACCCCACCCGTAACCAGGGGGATTTCCTCAAAGACGCCCTTATTACCACCAAAAAAACACACAGCAGAGCAGATCCCTGCCTGATCCAAGTACTCATCAAGCACCAGTACATGACCCACAATTTGGACAAAGGGTCAGAAAATTACACACTGTCATTAAAATGGTACACCACCTACAAAATGTGACCCCAGGACCTGAAAAACAGGATCCAAAAATGATAGCACGTATGGTGGATAATTTGGCAGCCATGATCAAACCAGCAAATCCAACAACCGACACGCTGGATATGATCATGGCAAATGCAAAGAACTGGGGCCACACTACACTGCTCATTCTCCAGGACCACTACACCGCTGAGCTGGAGAAAATAAAGGCAGATCTTTCAAAAGAGCCACCTCAAGAGTGGAAGAGCGCCTTCACTGTGGCCACGAGATGGGCTAGGAAGAACCTGCCTCGCATAAAGCAGGAGGTTATTGACCACGCAGAGGCTCTGATAGCCTCCTGTGTGAAGCCTGATGCAGCACAGGACACAGAGACAGCCCCTTCTGAGCCTGCTGCTGCACAGGAAAAACTACAAAATGATGGTCCACAAATTGTGGACAATTGTGCAGACAACAACAAAACTGTCACACAAGCACAAGCAGACACCACAACAAAACACACAGTCAGCACAAGCACAACAACAACAACAACAAAACAAAACACCACCACAACAACAACAACAAAAAACACCACAACAAACCAAAACACCTCAGACTCCACTCCACACACCACACACAGAACCACAACATAACAAACAAGAGGAGAAACAAACACCTACAAACAATACAAAACAGTACTCACACATAGGGGAAAACCAAGACACGGAGCTGGAGACAACTCCTGTTCTGTCTCCACAACAGAGCTTCCTGTCCAAGCCGGACATGGAGTTTCTGGATTTTCTGGAAGGAAACTCTCCCTCTCCCCCAAAACCTGTAACATTCAAACCAAAAAGACACATTAGGAAAAAAAAGTGACTCCTAATCACTAACCACCAACCCCTAATCACTAACCCCTGACCCCTAACCACTAACCCCTAGCCCTAAAACTAACGCCTAACCAGAATCCTAACCCTAACCCTAACCCTCGGGGATCAAATCTAACCCTGGCCCTATCCCTAACCCTAACCCTAACCCTCGGGGATCAAATCTAACCCTAACCCTATCCCTAACCCTAACCCTAACCCTCGGGGATCAAATCTAACCCTAACCCTGGCCCTAACCCTAACCCTAACCCTCGGGGATCAAATCTAACCCTAACCCTAGCCCTAACCCTAACCTCTCTAACCCTAGCCCTGACCCCTAACCCTAACCTCTAAAAACTAATAATTTATTTTAATTAATTCTTTTTAATCCATTATGGATTATTAGACATTAAAACCATAAATAATACAAATATATATCTCATCTAAAATTTAAAAAGGGAATTAGGGGCTAACATAATTACATCTGTCTTTAAAACTTCAATTTCATTACAAATTTAATGGGCAAACGTTAAAATTGGGCATTACAATTACAATTCATTCAATTAAATAAGTTAAAAAGAGCATAAAAAATTCTAATTGGGCATTACAATTATGATTCATTAAAATTAATCTGTTAAAAGAGGGTAAAAAAATCCAATTGGCCATTAACATTCATGTCATCTAATTTCAGTTGGCATTTATGGGGTTAACTGCACCCAGACGGCCGGGGGCCCCGTCTGGCTCTGCTCTCTCCCACGCCCCTATAAATAACACACGCACACACAGCCCACTTCTCCCACTTCACATATGTCTCCGGAAGAGAAAACATCTCATACACACACTCAGACAAGTCCAGACATATCCCTTTCTGTGCCCATAGCCTGAAGAAGACCCAAGCGGGTCGAAACGTCGCGACTGGGCACTCTTTATTACACCTTTTCTTTATTTCTTCGTCTTCATAGACATATTATTCAGTTTTCTTTCTTTTATTTCATTTTATTTCATTTTGATTTCAGAAAAAAACAAAAAAAAGCATAAAAAAATAAGAACAATTCATTTATTTGGTTATACTGTTACACCAATAAATAAATAAATAAATAGTTTAATAAATACACCACATTAATAAATAAGTAATTAATAATTAAAAAGATTAAAAACAATCATGAATTACAATGAGCAAGAATGGACTGAAGTGCGATACGGGAGAAGGCGTGGTCAACGCCCGTATCGCACTAATCAGCAGTACCAAACGGGGTCGTGGGGGATGGGGAACAGGGGGATGGACCGTGCACCTCCTGTCTCCTATTCTAGGAGACAGTCCCCCTATATCCATAAACCTAACCGGCCTGTGCCTCCCCCACGGTTCTCTGCTCCCTCACGTCCCCGCAGACCTGGACCTCCTCCTCATTATCAACCCAGATTTTGGGGACCTCAATCAGGGTCCTATGCATCTGTGCTACACCAGGGAAACCCCACCTGTAACCAGGGGGGGTTTCCTCAAAAACGCCCTTATTTCCACCAAAAAAACACACAGCAGAGCAGATCCCTGCCTGATCCAAGTACTTATCAAGCACCAGTACATGACCCACAATTTGGACAAATGGTCAGGAAATTACACACTGTCATTAAAATGGTACACCACCTACAAAATGTGACCCCAGGACCTGAAAAACAGGATCCAAAAATGATAGCACGTATGGTGGATAATTTGGCAACCATGATCAAACCAGCAAATCCAACAACCGACACGCTGGATATGATCATGGCAAATGCAAAGAACTGGGGCCACACTACACTGCTCATTCTCCAGGACCACTACACCGCTGAGCTGGAGAAAATACAGGCAGATCTTTCAAAAGAGCCACCTCAAGAGTGGAAGAGCGCCTTCACTGTGGCCACGAGATGGGCTAGGAAGAACCTGCCTCGTATAAAGCAGGAGGTTATTGACCACGCAGAGGCTCTGATAGCCTCTTGTGTGAAGCCTGATGCAGCACAGGACACAGAGACAGCCCCTTCTGAGCCTGCTGCTGCACAGGAAAAACTACAAAATGATGGTCCACAAATTGTGGACAATCCTGTACATATAAAGCAGACACCACAACAAAACACACAGTCAGCACAAGCACAACAACAACAACAAAACAAAACACCACCACAACAACAACAACAAAAAACACCACAACAAACCAAAACACCTCAGACTCCACTCCACACACCACACACAGAACCACAACATAATAGAATAGAATATTCCTTTATTGATCCCCCATGGGGGAAATTTTTTTGTCACAGCAGCATCACAGACAAGACAGAAAGTGCAAAATGCAGTTATAACAATAAGGGTCCTAATATTAAGAACTTAATAAATGTAATAATTAAGAAAAAAAAATTGAAAAGAGAAAAGGGAGAAGAAAAAATAAAGCTTTCTGCAATATACACAATTTAAATGCCATAAAAAAAGTGGTGGTGTAAATCCAGTTTTGTTACTGTTCATTGTAAAGTCTTATTGCAGAGGGGAGGAATGATCTGCGGTAGCGCTCCGTCCTGCAGGGTGGGAGTCTCAGTCTGCTGCTGAAGGAGCAAAGCCCCAGTCTGGTGCAGTGGGTGAGAACAAACAATAACAAACAAGAGGAGAAACAAACACCTACAAACAATACAAAACAGCACTCACACATATAGGGGAAAACCAAGCCACGGAGCTGGAGACGACTCCTGTTCTGTCTCCACAACAGAACTTCCTGTCTAAGCTGGACATGGAGTTTCTGGATTTTCTGGAGGGAAACTCTCCCTCTCCCCCAAAACCTATAACATACAAACCAAAAAGACACATTAGGAAAAAAAAGTGACCCCTAATTACTAACCACCAACCCCTAATCACTAACCCCTGACCCCTAACCACTAACCCCTAGCCCTAAAACTAACGCCTAACCAGAATCCTAACCCTAACCCTAACCCTCGGGGATCAAATCTAACCCTGGCCCTATCCCTAACCCTAACCCTAACCCTCGGGGATCAAATCTAACCCTAACCCTATCCCTAACCCTAACCCTAACCCTCGGGGATCAAATCTAACCCTAACCCTGGCCCTGACCCTAACCCTAACCCTCGGGGATCAAATCTAACCCTAACCCTAGCCCTAACCCTAACCTCTCTAGCCCTAGCCCTGACCCCTAACCCTAACCTTTAAAAACTAATAATTTATTTTAATTAATTCTTTTTAATCCATTATTGATTATTAGACATTAAAACCATAAATATTACAAAAATATATCTCATCTAAAATTTAAAAAGGGAATTAGGGGCTAACATAATTACATCTGTCTTTAAAAAATCAATTTCATTACAATTCTAATGGGCAAACGTTAAAATTGGGCATTACAATTACAATTCATTAAATTAAATAAGTTAAAAAGAGCATAAAAAATTCTAATTGGGCATTACAATTATGATTCATTAAAATTAATCTGTTAAAAGAGGGTAAAAAAATCCAATTGGCCATTAACATTCATGTCATCTAATTTCAGTTGGCATTTATGGGGTTAACTGCACCCAGACGGCCGGGGGCCCCGTCTGGCTCTGCTCTCTCCCACGCCCCTATAAATAACACATGCACACACAGCCCACTTCTCCCACTTCACATATGTCTCCGGAAGAGAAAACATCTCATACACACACTCAGACAAGTCCAGACATATCCCTTTCTGTGCCCATAGCCTGAAGAAGACCCAAGCGGGTCGAAACGTCGCGACTGGGCACTCTTTATTACACCTTTTCTTTATTTCTTCGTCTTCATAGACATATTATTCAGTTTTCTTTCTTTTATTTCATTTTATTTCATTTTGATTTCAGAAAAAAACAAAAAAAGCATAAAAAAATAAGAACAATTCATTTATTTGGTTATACTGTTACACCAATAAATAAATAAATAGTTTAATAAATACACCACATTAATAAATAAGTAATTAATAATTAAAAAGATTAAAAACAATCATGAATTACAATGAGCAAGAATGGACTGAAGTGCGATACGGGAGAAGGCGTGGTCAACGTCCGTATCGCACTAATCAGCAGTACCAAACGGGGTCGTGGGGGACGGGGAACAGGGGGATGGACCGTGCACCTCCTGTCTCCTATTCTAGGAGACAGTCCCCCTATATCCATAAACCTAACCCTAACCCTAACCCTAAACCCTAACCCTAACCCTAACCCTAACCCCTAACCCTAACCCTAACCTAACCCCTAACCCTAACCCCTAACCCTAACCCTAACCCTAGCCCCATTAAGGGTTAGGGTTCGGGTTAGGGGTTGAAGGTTAATGAGGCTAGGGACTAACATTTAGGGTTAGGGTTAGGGTTAGGATTAGGGTTAGGGTTAGGTCTAGGGTTAGGGGTCAGGGTTGGGTTTAGGGTTAGGGTTAGGTGTGGGGTTAGGTCTAGGGTTAGGGGTTAGGGTTGGGGTTAGGGTTAGGGTTAGGGTTAGGGTTAGGTTTAGGTCTAGGGTTAGGGTTAGGGTTAGGTCTAGGGTTAGGGGTTAGGGTTGGGGTTAGGGTTAGGGTTAGGGGTTAGGGTTGGGGTTAGGGTTAGGGTTAGGGTTTGGTTAGGGTTAGGTTTAGGTCTAGGGTTAGGGTTAGGCCTAGGGTTAGGGTTAGGTCTAGGGTAAGGGGTTAGGGTTGGGGTTGGGGTTAGGGTTAGGGTTTGGTTAGGGTTAGGGTTAGGATTAGGGTTAGGGTTAGGGTTATGGGTCAGGGTTGGGTTTAGGGTTAGGATTAGGGTTAGAGTTAAGTTTAGGACTAGGGTTAGGCCTAGGGTTAGGTCTAGGGTTAGGGGTTAGGGTTAGGGTTTGGTTAGGGTTAGGGTTAGGGTTTGGTTTAGGGTTAGGGTTAGGGTTAGGATTAGGGTTTGGTTTAGGTCTAGGGTGAGTGTAAGTGCTAGGGGTTAGGGTTTAGGGTTAGGGCTGGGGTTTGGTTTAGGTCTAGGGTTAGGCTTTGGGTTACATACTGGGTTAGGGTTATAATTAAATCCAAGGTTAGTGTAATGACCAGACCTAGGGGTTTTTTAAGACCTAGGGTGAGTGTCAGATAGTTTTAGAACTTCAGACTTTGGGTCTGAAATTTTAAATGTCAGTGGTTAAACAAATTTTCAATAACAACCTTAGATAGTAGTTTCAAACACTACGGTTAGGGTTAGGGTTAATATTAGAGCTGGGTTAGGGTTACTGTTGTGTCTGGGCTGTCCTCGATGTGTAGATGCAGAAGGAGGCTTCGTGACACTGGCTTGCTTGTATAAGAGGAGTTTATTATAAAGACAAAACCAGTATCAATACAGCACTGCAGTTGCTGGGAGAGGACTGCCAATGATGTCCAGCTCTCCCAAACCAGAGTTTGTGACCCTGTTATATAGATTTAGGGATGTAAGCCCTCCTACATTCCCAAATTATCTTTCCTTACCATCTTGTGTTTGGTAAACCTAGATTGTAACCAATAAAGTGCCCCTCCTAGGCTATCTCACACCAGGTATCACTAATGATAAACAGATAAACACACACGCCCACAGTTCACAACTGGTTTCTCAGGCTATTCCTGAGAAATACCTTAAGGAAATGCATAGTGATGTAGTGCTCCAGATACCACATTACACCTAGGGTTCGAGTTAGGGCTAGGGTTAGGGTTAAACCCAGGGTTAGGATTAGGGTTATAACTTTTGTTAGGGTTAGGGTAAGGGTTAGACCTACTGTTGGGGTAAGAACTAGAGTTAGGGTTAGACACAGGGTAAAGGCCAGACCTAGGGTTTAGATTACGTTGAAACGTAGGGTTGGGGTTGGATCAATTTTAGATTTTGGGGCATACATTTCAAATGTTAGTTGTGAGAAAGATTCCAAATTATGAGCTTTGAGATATTATCTTCAAATAATACGTTTATAAAAGATTCCAATCTTTAATTTTGAATTTAAATTTTTTAGAGAAATGACCCTGGTTTCTGTCTAAGGGTTAAAGTTACGGAAACCACTTTTAAAAATGTGAGAGGCATAGCACGGCGTTGGTGGTTATCTCCGCCCTGGTTTCTGAGCTACTTCCCACCATGAATTAGCACAGCAGAAAGCGTCTTTGTACACTTTCAGGAGGACATTGTACAGGTGGGGATAGCAGCATACTTAACAGGTGTTATGCCGTAGAATGCACCCCCTGCCGTAGATGCACCCCCTGCATCCCCTCCACTTGTTAGCTTCTTAAAGATGGCTCCGCGCCCCCCTGGGGGGGCGGGCCACACACTTTGAGAAATGCTGCCTTAAGCCTAACCTCAGTTTAAACATAAATATATTATTTTTGATTAATAAGAATCAGCAGTTAAAGGGTTAACATTTTCAAATTAAATAGAGTAGAAAATAACATAAAATATCCGAGAAATTCAGTTAATTATTTGTTAAAAGGTATAAAAGGGGAGAAGGGAACAGGGTTATTTCTTTTTTGTTTAGCTGCTTGCTGGGTTAACACCTATGAATTGGTGCCCAGCAGCCCTTTCTTATGTCTGCACAGACCTGAAGAAGACCGAAGTCGGGTCCAAACGTCGTTGATGATGCACACATTGTTTGTACATAGTTCATGTGTAGTTCATGTATTGTGTGTTTGTGTGTTTGTGTGTAAAAAACAGTAAAAAAAAAAACTAAAAAATGGAAGATATTTCAAAACAATAACTCAACACATTAAAACCAACTTAAAAACAATATTTATTAAACACAAGTCGTGTTCTTAGTGGGACCGGGTGAGCGTGTCCGGTGGGGCGAAGGCCCGTGCACGCCCCGCTCCCTGAAGACCCAGGGTTAGGGTTAGCAGGGTCATAACTTAGAGGGAGACGGGAGTCATCCCTCAATCCTAACCCTAACCCTAGGGGGATAGACAAAATCTCAGCCCGGTTCGACCTTGGGAAAGGCAATGAACCGCGATGTCAAAAGTGGCACATACCCCTATATCTCCTAACCTAACCCTAACCCCTATATCCTAACCCTCCTAATATGTTGTTTGTCCATAAAAAAAAATAAGTAAATTATTATAATATTATAATTTCAGGATTTGTGGTGCGACGCACTCTGATGAAGCTGTCCTGTGATGTCTGCCGGTCCAGCCTTGTGACGGACGCTGAATCTGCCTGTAAGGACCAGACCTACCACCCGCTGACTCTGAAGAACGATGGAGGTCTGGTCATTCCATCTGAAGGCACAATAAAAGTCATCAGAGCTGCAGAGTGGGTCAATCGCCAGTTATCAGCAGATTCCAGAAGATCATAGCCCATCAAAATGTTGGAGGTCCTCTACATGGTGCAGAAGAGGAAAGGTTCAGAGGACGTGTTTTTGCTTGGGGAGCATATCAACGATACACGCTATGGCATCGACAGTCACCACAACACACTGTTGACATTACTTGTGTCACTGTTTTTCAAACTAAGGCTGCACCACATTACTAAAATCACTATGCTTAGCCCACAGAGAGACAATGTGAGACAGAAGCTCACCAAAACAGTCCTTTTCAGGGGGCAGTAGCTCAAACTGTCCGTGCACTTGTATATATGTTGGTTTTGTTGCGACTGTGTGAGTGACTGTTGGTTTGGAGTGAATGTTGAATTGTTTTGTAATTGTGCACATCTGGTTAATAAAAGAACCTTGATGTCATGTTACTGAATGTGTTTATTTTAATTTATATATTAATATATGTAGCAGAATGGGTACAATGAACGAACCATCCCCCTGATCTTTAAAACTATACACATGAGTTGTTATGTGACCCTAAAATAAGAACACAAACATTCCCAACAGGCTGTAGAATATTTTACGTTTGTGGTATAATTATTTTTCTGTTAAAGCTAATGGACCCATGTCTAAACTTATACATCATTCATGTTAGTGAAATTCAATGTTTAGACCTATGTGAGTCATTGAGCAAAATATCATTCTGAAGCATTAAATTAATTAGGTTTTATCAAAACGATGGCCATGGGGCAAGATGAACCAAAAGCTGTGGGGTAAATTGAACCAATATGAATCACAATTTAGACAATTTTTATTAGGTCTTTGATTCTCTGATTAGCAGAATGATCTTTATTTTTCATAAATACACTCATTCAAGAGAAGTTTTCAATATTATATTTATAATCGCAAATATTAAAAGGTTCTGAAAAACAAACTTTAATTGATTTTATATTGTTTAATAACCCAAAGAAAATAATAAAGACTACTTGAAAAAAGGGAAATGTCTTATAAAATTATTTTTCATCAGTAAATTCATTATTTGTTAAAGTTTTAAGTTTAAGTTTAAAATATCATGTGGGTCAACTTACCTCTTTATATTTAATATATCTATTAAATAGAACTATAAAATATCGAACTATTAAATGTTTAATATAAAAAACACTGACAATTTAATTTCACTGTGTGTGTATGTGTGCAGCTGTGGCAGGTATTGCTCCACTATCTTCTTTTTAAATTTAATATGAAAGTCCATGGATATAATTATCCGTAAATATGCAGAAACATAACTACATCTCTGACGTTTATAACAAACCAATCCGTTTAAAAATCAGTTGAAATTTGAGCAGGATATGGTCATGGAAACAGTACATGCACCATAGACATTAATGTTATCAGTGGACCAACAGCCCCGAGGTAAGATGGCCGCCGTGTGACGACGTCAGTCCCCATTGGCTCACAACGTAGGTAAGCTATCTAGCCTTTCTAATGTATATCTATGGGTAGACTACTTCACTAAAACCGGACCATCTTAATCGGGGACCTCAAGTCCACAGAACGGCAGCGCGCTCAGCTAAGATCAGGCGGTCTCTGAAATGAGACACAGCCTATATCCGTAGACGCATCAAAGCCTGACGCTGCCTATTGGAGCTCTCGTATCAGCGCGGCCGCCATCTTGGATGGGTCCCCCGTGCGCCTTGACCCCTGAGTGAACCTGTGGGAGACCCCTCCAAAATGGCGGTGACGCTGGATTACGCTCCAGCACGCAATGAGGCGTCTACGTAGATAATGTCTATGAACAAACGTCCCATCAGTGGAGAGGAGGAGCTGAGGGGGGAGTTCGTGTTTCCATTCAACATGAAGTTCAGGGAGGGCAGAGTCAGAGAGACCGGGTTATCTGAGGATACCTCAGGACAAACTAGATTCAGACATGGGTCTACAGGCTCAGACTCTCGTCTCGGCTTCATGGCTCTCAAATCTGGTGAAACGGAACCTTGTTGGACCGAGTCTCCGGATCCTGGACACGTCCTGGTACCTGCCAATGATGAACCGAGATGGAAAGAAGGAGTTTGCTCAGTCCCACATTCCCGGGGCTTCGTTCTTTGACATCGACGAGTGTTCGGACCGGACCTCGAGGTTCGACCACACTCTCCCCTCAGAACCACAGTTCGCGGACTATGTTGGGAACTTGGGTATCGGGAATGACAGCCATGTGGTCGTGTACGACGCCAGTGACTTTGGGGCTTTTTCCTGCACCAGGGTCTGGTGGATGTTCCGGTTGTTTGGGCACACTAAAGTCTCGGTCCTGGACGGGGGGTTTAGGAATTGGGTCAAAGAGGGCCATCCGGTCTCGGGGACGTACACTAAACCAGAGTCAGTCCGCTTCACAGCAACAATGAACCGGTTCTGGGTCAAGTCATTCGAGGACGTTACGAAGAATATCGAGACCCAGAACTTCCAGGTGGTGGACGTCAGGCCCTACGAGAGATTTCGTGGAGTAGAACCGGAACCAAGAGAAGGTAAGTGGGTCCAAGCAGTCTCAAGGTTCTGGGGGATTTGACCCCAAAGACTGTGGACTGAAACTCATGAACTCCCGAGTCAGTACCCCACAGATTTGAAGCCCAGATTCCACTGTAATCTGCATTAATGACGTTCAAAAGAGATCAATACCTTCATTGATGATTTTGTATTTGATTATTAATGCCTGAAACTGGTACAAGGAGGTAAGCGCCTCCTGAGCAGCTTAAGAAACACCAACGTTTTACATTTTCCACGTCCAAAATTCAGTATTAATGATTCTTTGACTGTCAGACGTCAGCAGGATGAGATTTTTTAACAGACGATAATATTTATGCATATAAAGGACATATTAATAACTACATTAGATAAGTTTGCTGAGTATAAAGTTACACCCATCAACATACATCTTTGTAGACCAACTTTATTCCACCTCTAAAAGTTACACCATCTGGCCTTAAGCCTTCACTAGTTTTATTTCACAGAAGTTTTTAAGTTTGTTTCTTGAAATCATTTCCTCAGTTTCTGTATATTTAACAATTTTAAGAGAATTTAAATAAGTACTGCGCACATTAAATCAAATCTAATCAAATTTAGGAGAAATAAAATTATATTCAACTATTGTTTTGATTTAAGATACTTAGATTTATCACTGTGTCATAAAATCTGAGGACAATACTCAAACCACTGTTTGAAGATAGTTGAACAATAAACTAATAACATTTTGGTTTTTATGGCAGCCATCAACATCTCACTTGACTTCTTGTGTAGTTGTGAATGATTCAGACAGCTTTATTCACCAATAGCCTATTAATTGTAGCAACACATTATGCTCCTCTTTTGCAACCTGCAGTCAAACCCCTCCTTCTAGGTCCTTTAGGGTCCTTCAGCCATTGGTTCCATTATTAAAACCCAAAATGGGGAGCTGGTTGGCCGAGCAGTTTAGGCGTGCACCCCATATACAAAAGCTGTAGTCCTTTGTTTGGCTTGGCCTGTTTTCTGTTTTCTCTAACTTTCTTATCTAATACAGTCAAATATTAGATAAGATTAGATACAACTTCATCTTTTGGGAAGTTTGGCTCAAGAATTAAAGATTTAAGAAGAAATGAAGCCCAAAGGAAATGGTGGCCATAACAGAAATGCTTCATCTGACATCCGACTTTTGACAACTTCTGTTGTTTGAGCCCAGAGGTGGAGTTTAGGTGTCAGCTTTTTGACCTGACTAATGAGAAAAACGATTAAAACTGTGACCACTATGAGAAAAAAAGGTTATCAAGGCTATTTCATATTTGTGTCTACTTTTCTGTGCTATGTGTGTGAGAATAAACTCTTAATGATTTCTCAGGTGTGGATCCAGGTCACATCCCCGGCTCTAAATGCATGCCTTTCTACGACTTCCTCAATGATGGCGGCATGATGCTCTCCACAGACGAGCTCAGAAAGTTTTTCGAGAAGTCACAAGTGGATCTTAAGAAGCCAATCTGTGGAACATGTGGCTCCGGTGTGACCGCCTGCCACATGGTGCTGGCTGCTCATCTGTGCGGCACGCCAGGGGTGGCTGTGTATGGCGGATCTTGGTATGAGTGGTTCACCAAAGCCCCTCCAGAGCACATCATCTCTGAGTCCAAAAACAAGCTTAGAGAAGAATAAAGAGAATCGGAACATTAAATCATTAACAAAACTAAGAAATCTGTTCAAACACCAGATAGATGTATAAAAACATGAGTGTGGTAACAGATTAGCATGTGGATTTAACATATGAGCTATTACAGGAAACTTCAGATAGTTGATTGACAGTTGACCACCTTTAAAAAGGTTAAAGTTAGTATGTGTTGAACTAAAACAGCATCTCTTTGTGTTTTTGGGGCTGTAAGAAGTTTTTAAATATAGTTACATGTCAGGTGACCGTTTGCCCCATTCTGACAATCCTTAAATTCCTACAAAGTGCAGTTTTATTCTGAGATATAACCTCAGCTGTAAAACCTCAGGACTTGCTGATTGTACTGTAGGACAAACTTTGTCAGTTTGTCTAAGTTGTGTTACTGTCGCACATACAAAAATGGGCAGTTGATCCAGTAGTGACAGGCTACAAACCACAGACATGAGTAGAAGACTTGATATGATAGCACACTGTGGAAAATCAATCTTATCTGCTCTGTATTAATCTCACATGTTTGGACGTTGACAGTAAACTGCATGAAAACCAGTTCAGGAATAAGCAACATAAGATTTATATCCCATCTGACGCCTTTCATGGGAAATTTGCCCCCACTAAGATGGCTGCCACAAAGGCACGCAGCTCAAAGGGGCAGGTCGTATCTACTGTTCGTATCTATGCACAGAAATGCAAAAACCTTTAAAGGAATAATCGACCAAAGTGTTGAGCACACCATCGAGGAAGGAGTTTTCTTTTCCCCAAAGAACTTCCAGCTTAAAAATCCACATTAACGCGAAGCATTGGTGTTAAATTAGCACGAGTGCGTGAATATATACTCCCTTCTTTCTTGAGTCTCTTTGCTCATGCAAAGTGAACCACAATTAAATAAAATTGTAATTGTTGGACACATATATATATATATATATATATATATATATATATATATATAAACTGTATATTAAAAATGAAAAAATCTCTTTTTATCTTTGTCCGTAACCACCCAGCTGTGACGTCAGCATAGCTTGAAAATGAACTCTGTAGAGATCGTCAGTCTCCTCCCTGATGGTTTGGTCAGCTTTTATGGATTGTTGAGATGTGTCAGAGTTCTTCTGTTTCATTACATGCCCAAAACTTGACAGCTTGAAAAACTAAAGTTATGGTTCATGTCACACAACAATTTCCCCTCAGATTTGGGATTAGAAAAGAGTGTGTTGTTGTTTCAATGATGTCCGTTTCCTTGAATGTTTCCTGCCTTAAAGCTGCTGTGATGGAGGGTTTGTGCTGATTTTTCAAAGTAGTCAGTCATATGTATTTGTGTATCATCTGAAGTACATGTGGCTGTGTGAGTTTTTCACTGGGTAAAGAATGTCTGATCTGAATACTGTTTGACACCGACCCCACCATCACATCCACAGGAAACAGACTATATTGAATTACTGTCTCTTTGCTCATAGCCTGAGTTGTTTTGAAGCATTGTTGAAAGTTTCAGTCACTTTTATAAAATCTTTAAAAATTCCTCACAAGAGCTTTAACAGTCATTTAGTAAACCTGCCTTTAAAAAATGGTGACGACATCTTCAGTCTCGTCATTTCAGTACAGATGAGGTTTCGTGGAAATGTTCGATTTTTAGTCTGATGATCGTTCCCTTTGTCGCTACACCAGTGTCTGCCTTAACTAAGCCTTAAACAGAATGTAGAATATGGCGCCACCTGCTGGTTCTTTGGTGTACCAACATTTGAAAATGCCTAAAAGCTGTATGTTATGTTTTTGTTTGTTTGTTAGTTTGTTACACATCTGTCAAAGTCAAAGTGACCTGAATGTATTTTGATGAGAACTTACAATAAAATATGTTTTCACAGTGAAAGCCGGTGTCTGCTCTGGTGTCTGCTCTGGTGTCTGCTCCTGTGTCTGCGCCTGTGTCTGCTCCCATGTCTGCTCCTGTGTCTGCTCCGCTGTCTGCTCCTGTGTCTGCTCCTGTGTCTGCTGGGGGGTATCTAAGGGGTGGGGGCTTGTTTTGTGGTTGTGTATTTTGTGAGTAAAGTAAAACACTGATGGAGACAGAGAGAAACATCCAGCAGTGTGAACGACCTCTTCATATCGAAGTCTTTGTCTCAAACTATCGGGGATTTCTGTGTTTCATGACTTTGATGAGCGCAGAGATGAACAGACTGTCGGCAAAGACTGCAGAATAAAAACTAAAAAACAAACAGAGGACAGGAGAGAGAGAAGGAGAAAGAGAGTCAGACGGCTGTTTGTTAGAAACACAATATATCTGTGTATTTCATCGGTTTTATTTGTAAAAAGTTATTTTTGAATTTTAGTGAAGAGGAGAAGAAAGGAGACGACCTACAACATCCAAAAACAGAAACGGGGAAATGAACAGAAATGGAAATGACAGAAAAACTTTGGGAGAAAGCAGAAGAGGAGAGAGAGCAGCTGAAAGAGGGATGAGAATAAAAGGATGAAGAACAGAGAAGTAAAGGGGAGCAGAGGTGTGAGCAGGAAGGAAAGAAGATCTGATTTTATTTCTTTAGTTTCTGATCAGTCTGAAGAACTTCAGATTTTCTTCTTTCAGTGGACGTGAATGTTCATGACATCAGACAGCGACTTCAACAGCTGCTGGTCAGATATTCTCATCATTAAAGGGTCTGAAGTTTTAACTCTCCTCCTCCTCCGTGTCTTTGGTCGACTTTGAATTGAAGTAAAATATTTTAGTTCTGTCGGCATGGAAGCAAAAAAAGACGGGAAAGTAAATCTGCACCTGCACCCTCGGGGCTAAGCCCCCGATCTCCTAGAATCCTGGATCCGCCCCTGGTTTTGAATGTCCTCGGTGACAGTGTTGGGGGGGCAGACAGTCATGGCGGCTCAGACGCGGGCTCTGGTCTCCGGTCAGTGGTTAGCAGAAGCGATCAGGAACAACCTGGTCGGGTCCAAACTCCGAATCCTCGATACTTCGTGGTATTTACCGAAAACCAAACGGGACCCAAAAGCTGAATTCGGGCAGAACCACATCCCGGGATCCTCGTTCTTTGACATCGACGAGTGCAGCGACCGGACCTCCGCCTTCGACCACATGCTGCCCACGGACAGTCACTTCTCTCGGTATGTCGGACACCTGGGCATCGGGAACGACACTCACGTGATCGTTTATGACACCAGCGACTTCGGCTCCTACAGCGCGCCCAGGGTGTGGTGGATGTTCCGGTTCTTCGGACACGACCTGGTGTCGGTTCTGGACGGAGGTTTTAAGAACTGGCTGACAGACGGTCATCCGGTCACATCTGAGTTCACCAAACCAGAGTTCAGGAAGTTTGAGACGACAGTGGGTCGGTCATGGGTGAAGAGCTACGAAGACATGTTGGAAAACGTGAAAACCAAACAGGTCCAGGTCGTGGACGCCAGGTCAGCGGGGAGGTTCCGAGGGGTCGAGCCGGAGCCCAGAGATGGTGAGCTGGTCCAAAGTTCTAACCTTTAAGGCTGTGATGAAAATGATGGTAGAAATGATGTTTGAGTGTCACAGTAACTATCCTAATAAAAGGGATTTATGACCACAGAGAGTTATTTAAAAAGTGATTTTTCACACATGTGAAGAAATCTAAACCGTGACTGATAATGCTTTTCTAACATATTCAAGGTTTAACTAGTTCAGGTAACTAGTCCCATGTTGACACTTCATATAATGTAAATCATTGATTCCAAATCAGGTGATTTTCATTTGCTCTGATTCTGGTTTGAAGACTCACCAACATTTAGCTGTTATTGTAGGAGATATAGAGACTATCATCAGTGGAACTTAAAAATGGATAAAAATTTAACATTTGCTTTTTAAAGTGTGCAAATATATAAAGAGCTTATTGTATTTTTATTCACACTAGTCTACAGTGTCACACTTATATCCACTGGTGTTTCCTAGTTTGGGAGAAACACCCCCACTTCAAAAACACCCACCCAGTCCTTCTTTATTTTTCCTCCTGGCATTCATTAACAGATTCATGCTGCTCAGTTGGCCGTTTATTTACATGCTGCCGATATAATCTGGTTTTGACTTAAACTGATTATGTGCCCTGAAAAAACAGAAGAGGTAAGTAAAGACAGTAAGTTAAAGTGAAGGTTATCTGTGGTGATAACCTGCTGCTGACAACTCAGAGCAAACTGAAATAAGATAAACTGAAATAAGATAAACTGAAATAAGATAAACTGAAATAAGATGAACTGAAATAAGATAAACAGAAATAAGATAAACTGAAATAAGATAAACTGAAATAAGATAAACATAAATAAGATTAACTGAAATAAGATGAACTGAAATAAGATAAACTCACTGAAGTCAAACACAGAAACTGCTGCACATGTACAGCTGCTCAAAATGAAGGAAAACCAGCTGTGAGTTTCAGGTCAGTGAGTGTGACTTTATATAACAGTGCACTCTCATATACTATACTGTACTATACTATACTATACTGTACTGTACTATAATATACTATAATATACTATACTATAGTTGGGATGTGTCTGCAGTTTCTGGTGGTTCAGATTGGACTTTGGAGTAAATGTAAACAGAAATGAGACAACATTGAAGGCAGTGCTCAGGTTTGCTTTCATAACTTTAACTAGTGTAAGACTCTAATGATTCACTCACAGTGTATGACTGAATACTTGTTAATCTGTTCCCTACGACATTACCTGCTCCAGACCGGGATACATGGGCAGCATGACTTACGGTACAGACAAGAAGAACCTCCTTCATTATCCAAAAATAAAAATCAATAAATTGTACTCGGTTGTACTGGAGGACTCAGTTAGGACCAGTGTCTGTTGATTATCTCTGTATGAATAAAGTTTTGTTATTATAAAAAGGATAATACATAATAAAAGAGTAAGAGCAGAAAAAATAGAATCCAAAAAGATAATGTAAAAAAAAGAAGCGTTATCACGACTGGTACTGTCATTATCCAGCTGTTACCAATTCATGTCATGGAGTCACAGGATGAAGTGACGTATAAACACATTTCAGAAGAATTGTACATATGAACCTGCCATCCCTGTTTTCTTCCACAGATACACTGCCAGGTCATTTCCCTGGAACCATCAACATGCCGTTCCCCACATTCATGGACGCCTCTGGAAAGGAGCTTGAATCTGACGCTCTTTCCACTCTGTTCAAAGATGCTGGTGTGGACCTGCAGAAACCAATCTGGGCTACCTGTGGGTCTGGGGTCACAGCGTGTCACGTTGTTCTGGCCGCTCACCTGCTCGGGCACCCCGGGGTGTGTGTTTATGACGGCTCCTGGTCGGAGTGGTTCAAAAGGGCGTCTCCAGAGCTAATAATCTCAGAGGGAGAGGGGAAGAAGGTGTGAAGGAGCCAGGAGCTGTAGGATATGAGGCCGTGTTTCTACTGCTAATGATGGTGATAGATGAAACATGGTAAAACCAGCCTTATGGAGCACTTTAAACTAACCCTCTGAAAGGACTGTTGTGTTCGGTATACAGGGGGCACTTAGGCTGACTCCTTTAGTAAAGAGGGTAGCCGAACTATCAGGGTATGTTATCATAGTAGTTAGGGTTGTTAACTCTGAGTGTTTGTGCAGAAAGGAATGATTTTAATATTAAGAATAATGGAAAGAACACTTGGATATCCTTGAAATTGTATTGTCGGATTTTTATGAAATAAAATGAGATAACATGCAAAGTAAGTACGAATGTTAAGAATTTATTACTGCCATAAAAATCAAAGAAATCTGCAGTTTATCATATAGATGCTAATAAGCTTATCTTTGAGCCTTTGTCATAAACACGTTCACACACACTTTTGGACAGTTGTTTCATGTATCTGCTGTATTGATAACAGTTATTTTAAGATTAGCATTATAACACCACCTCATTTCTCCATCTTTTCTGAGTCTCTGCTAACCTAAGTCATGAGGGGAACACTCACTGTACACATAAGTGACACAATCTGTAGTACTGAATATTAACATAGACTTCATACAAATAGAAGTTGGCACCATTTTTCTTGTGTATTTAAAGAGATGAATATTAAGCTTTAGTTCATTTGGTTATTAAATCCAGAAATGTTGTCCTGTGGTAACTGAGGGCTTACAACTCTAATTTATGTCACTCTTTTAGTGTCTGTTAAATTAACTAGGAAAACAGTTCAAAACAGTTTTTAATGTCAGCTTATACAGGTGTGTTTACTGGTGCATCTCAATAAATTAGAATATCATTAAAAAAGTAATTTGGTTAAAAAAAAAAGTGAAACTCATGTAGATCCAGACCACAGACTGATCATCTTTAAGTGCTTATTTCTTTTCATTTTGATGATTGTCACTTACAGCAAATAAAAACCCATTTTCTCTGAATTAGACTTTTGTGAAGCAGTTCAATATTAGAGACTCGTGGTGTGACACGCTAACCTAACTCTTAGCAGATAAATAACTCCTGCAAAGGTGTCCTGGACTTTTAAATGGTCCGTCAGTCTGGATCATCAGGCCCTCAATCATGGGGAAGACTGGGGACCTGACATTGGACATCCAACAGATGATCACTGTCAGCCTGTACAAGGAGGGTTAATGCCACACGTCTGTGAGACACACGTTTCACTTACATTTACAGGAATGAGGTTGTGTTCATCCTTCGCTGAAGTCCAAGGCAAAGGTGTTAAAGCAGTGAGAATAATTCACAGATTGATTTGCATGAATTTAGGATTCAAGTAGAAAGCCAGAAAAAAAGGAAGTACTAAAACTACATCTTGCAACGTTTTTTCAACGCTTTATTTTTATAATAATAATAATAACTTTATTTGTGTGGCACTTTAAAAAAAAAAAACCCAGATGTTTACAAAGTGCTTTGACCTGTAGTCGTAGAGCACATGGAAAAAGACAGATAAACACAAAAAGCTCAGTAAAAACAGAATTAAAGGAACATTTTTATGTCATAAGGAACTCAGACAAAACAAGAACCACGTAACAGAAAATGAGACCATGAGGACCAAAATAAAAACTTAAAACAGTTCAGAAAAAAGGAATTACAAGAAAGGTCAAAGGCGGGAACAGGATAGTAAATATAAAAGACAATATCAACAATGATAATGAAATAATAACAGGTAATACTGAGAATAAAAGTTATGATAAAATAGAGAAATAAGTGAGTGAAAAAAAAAAAAGGCCTAAAAGGTTTAATTAAGAAAAGAGGACAAGTTTAACAAAAATAAAAAAGACGGTAAAATTCAAATAAGATAAAAGAGATAAAAGAGATAAACGGTCAAAGATAAAAAAAACATCATCACATTAAATCAAGTCTGTAAAAGTGAGTTTTTAACTTTGACGTAAAGAAGCGTCTGTCTCTGCTGTTCGCCGTCTCTCCTCTGAAGGTCGTTCCAAAGTCGAGGAGCTCTGATGGACAAAGATCGATCAGCTTTAGTTTAGAGACTTTAGAACGACCAGGAGACCTTCACCAGAGGATCTGAGGCTGCGAGTAAAAACTCTGAAATGGAGCTCAGAGCGAGTCCTTTGAGAGCTGTAAAAGTAATCAATAAAATCTTCAAATCAATTCTAAAACTGACAGGAATGGTTTCTGTATTTCTCTCTTTTGAAACACAGAGACCCTGACATGGAGCAGAACTCCTTTACTTAGTAACTAGAAAAACAAATATTGAGCTTCATGAAAGGCTTGTGAGGGTCCGACAGGATTTACTGTCCCCCTTCAGTTTCCTTTTCAGTCTTTTGGACATCAGAAACAGTTTCAGTCTTCTGCTTATCAATGTTGTGATAGATTTGAAACGTTTGTTCTGTTTTTGATCTTTGATTCATGAATCTTTAATGTGCCAAAATTTTACTTCATGAACGAACATTCTTGGGTTTGGAAAATGTAACAGGTAATGTGCTCTCCAAAAGGCCGGAGCTTTTGCTGAGACATGATACAGTATAAAAAAGATTTAAAAATGGGGAGGGGGGGGGGATGCTGACGCAAAGCAAATCAAAACCAGTTCAGTCTGGTTCCCTCGCTGGATGTGAGCTGTCTGGCAAGATGCCCGATTTTCTAGACAAAGTTTGTGTCCTTGTTCAGAAGTTGTCCCAGCGATTTCACGTGCCTCTGTTTATTAATTTTGGGGGTTTCTAATTTACATGGGACCCCCGCCTCCAAAGAAATGTACATTTAAAAACAATGAGACTTTTAAGCAGGGGTCCTGTTTAAAGAGTGTCTTTGGAGACTGCAGTTAAAAGAAAACATTTAGTTCTTTATCATCCGTCTGCGTTCAGAGTTTGTCGGTTTCATTGTTGAATCTGTAAATGAAGTGAGGATCAAGTTATCTGTGTCATTGTTTATGATGTCAGCTGTTGCTATGTTCTATTGAGGCAAAAAAGAAAACTGCAGGGAGCAGAGCTGAAGTGTCTCACCAGTGGGCAGTTTGGAACAACTCGTTCACTTTGAATGACTCTTCTTCAACACTTGATCTGGAGCTGAGGACTTTGTCTGTGCTGTCTGTATTTGGAATATCTAAATGAAGACCAATATTCGCAACAAAGGGCCAGCCAGACAAATACTTGTGGATAGGAGTATCAAACTGAGTATCAGTTAGATGAAGGAACTTTCTCAGACCGCTTTTGTATGTAAAGATGTAATGGAGATAATTACTTTGCTTAAGCCTGAACTTTCTTCCATGTCTCAAAGAGGAAGGCCGGTATCCAGTCCTCTCCAAGTTCTGATCACTTTGAGATTCTTGGCATCAGAAACCTTTCATTGTAAAACTGGTGATTTTTGTGGTGTCAGTGAAGCGACCATGAGTAAAATAGTTCACAATGTCCATGGTGCCAATCTGTACAGTTCACTGATGCTGCTGCCAACTATAAAGTGCAATTCCAGAAATATGGGAACTTCCCAAGACTGACTGGATGTATAAATGGGTGTCATGTTCAAACCAAGGCCTCTATTTCCTTTCCTCACCGGCGACGTGGCGTAGGCACGGCGAAACTCAGGTCTGCTGCGCCGACAAGGCGTGCTCCTCTCCTCACCTTTTAATCCACCACCGGCGAGGTGTATTACAATTTTCGTTCAGTAGTCAAAGAGATCAAGAGATGTCTGAAGACAACAACGCCACACGATGGCGACAGAAGGCAGCTCCTCAACAAGTGTCACTGTAAGCGCTGCATTGGGCGTCCTCCACACTCTCTCATTTAAGCACAGATGGATTTGGTGTGTGTAATGTTGGACCCACTGGTAAGACAAACACCCTTTTCCACAAATAAAGACACTCACATAAAGTTGCATTTATTCAAACCTCACGTGACAAAGGTGGGTTGTGCGCACAGATCACAACATTAACTCCATAAATGGCGTTAAAATCTGAACCATCTGTGCGTAAATGACGCATCGCGCTCCGTGGCCTGGCTCTTTCTTTCATAGATGTTGGCATATAAAATAAATTTGACTCACAAAACTGAATATTATAATATCCGTATGTCGGCTTAAAGTAGATAACTCATCTGATCACTGAAACAAATCATCTGTTCAGCAGCAGCAGGACGGAGAGAGGACACGGAGACGTGTCCAGGTCGAGCTGCACGAGAAATAAGAGGAAGAAAGAAAAGGAGGGAGACGAATTAAATATCTTGTTAACTTCATCATGTTTGTTTATTTACTAGATATTTAATTTAATTTAATGCGGTTTCAGCTGTATTGATTCGGTCAGGTTGTGTGTCCAAACACGTGCCAAACGCGCTCATCAGATCAGATATAGATCAGAATATATCGATATAGATCTAGATGTATGTGCTGACTCAGATTATTAGTTATTGATTATTTATTTCACTGAAATGTGCTTGACACTGTGGAAACCTGTTGGTGAGACATCGGTGACGTATGCCGATACGCCGCCGGTCTACCAAAATACCACTAGACCAGCTGCGCTCCGCCTGCGTTGAAAGCTGACCAGGTTTGAATCAGTGAGTTTTCAGCGCACTTTCTATGCTGCTGGAGAGCACGAAAATGTCACGGCGCCAGCTGATTCTATCGACACCTCCCTTTGCCGCGCCACCACGCCCAGCTTGGCGGACCTCGGTGAGCCTCAGTCCATGAAAAAATACCACACTGGCTGTACGATGGACTCCACCAGACCAAAATACCACTGTGCAGGGTCCGCCACCGGCCGCGCCGCCGTTGTTGGAGGGTCCGGTTGGTAACAATTTTATTTGAATTATATCAGTTCATAATCGCAGTCCATGCATTTCGTTTTTTTTTTTTCATTTCTGCTGCTGAATCAGGATTCTGAGACTCTGAAGCCTGGAAATAGTAAACCTCAAGTTAAATAACATCTCAGAAAGAAATCTAATTAGTGTGGATGAAGTTAATCCAGATTAGTCTAGTCCTGGTTTAGATTAGGCCCTGTATGGGAAACTGGGCCCATATGTTTATTTATTACATGTCATGCCCTCATAGAACATGCTTATTGAACATCACAATCATCGGGAATAGGGACAATAGCTTTCTGGGGCTACATGGGGCAGATGTTTAAACTGTTCATCCAGCAACTGCCCATCCTGTGCTTTCAGGCGCCCCCCGAGGACACTTAAGGGACAGCACTTTCTTGCACTTGCATGTTAGCTTCATATTTCAGTGCCACAGTATCTATCACAGATTAGGGTTGGGCATCAAGTCTCAAGCATCGATGGGGACCAGGACTAATTATCCGATTCTCCCCAAACCGTTCAAATTTAAACATTTCTCATAAAAACTCTTTTTTTTCTTCAACCTTTGGGTGCCTTTTGAATTCTGTCATGGCGGCTAGTTTATCACCTCAGTCCAGAGTGAATTGAGTCTTTTAGAGTTGGGAGTGAGTCAAAATGGTTGAATCGTTCCAAGACTTGAGCTTCTCAGCACGAATGCCACAACAAAGATGGCCGACCATGGTTGACGGGTGTCCGTTGGCTGTCCCGTATCTGCCTGAAGGTCCTGACGAAAAAAACAAATCGGGGTCCTTTCTTGCGATAGGCGAGCTGTCGGGGAAAAAAGCATCCAAGTCACATTGTGAAACACAACTGTGATGATTGCCATTAAATAAGTGCAGCTAATATCGATGAGTGTGTGGGTGATGTTGATTATTGATCTGGTCCGGTTATTCGCGCCCTAACTGCTCCGCTGTGTCTCTTATTGACCGTCGTAGGGTGTGTGTGTTTTTTTTTCGTTTTGCATCGTTGACGTTTGCGACGCAATTAGTCTCACGGCAGGCCAACGTAACAAATTCTGACATCCACCTGAAAATAAAGGACGTAAGTAGAGTTTCGATGTTCCTGTGTAAATGTGGGCTCTCTTTTTCAGCGGGAAGACCGTCAGCTACGAACCGCATCAATGATTAATTCCAGTGTGTTTTTAAGACTCAGTGTTCGAAGATAAACTGTTTTTTATCAGAAATCTGAAAGACTGCTTCACTACTTTGGACAGAAACGACAAACTGATAATTTTACAATAAGAATATCAGGAGCTGTGAGTTTCCCATCAAGTGTTGATAAAAGTCTGTGGTAGTGAAGCTCTGAGACACTCAGATGGAGTTAAAAAGTCTTTATCGTTCAGGGTTAGTGGGAAAAAACGGATTTTTATCTTCACCAGATCTACGGACAAGTCACTGCTCTCATATATCAGACACTGTCCTCCTGAGAAACACCTGATCATGTATACTTGATTCTCACTCACCCACTCGGGTTTCTGAGTAATTTTCTGTTGTTTTTCCACAGGGGGGCGTTGATGAGCAGCAATGTCTGGTATCGCTCTTAGCAGACTGTCCCAGGAGCGCAAAGCCTGGAGGAAAGACCACCCATTCGTAAGTCTTCTCAGAATCAAGATTGACCATAGACTGTATATAGAACGGACGCCGTCTGCCTCCTCTCTGAGAACAGCGCCCTCTGGTGACGGGCTGCAGTACAGGTCCTAAACCCCGCCTCCTTATGGAGCTGTGGACAAACTTTATAAATGAATGACACAGAATATAAATGTTTCTCCCCCCTGGTTGTGATGTTGACATGTAGTTACTGTCAGACTGGTTTGTGCTCAAGTCCTCTTTTTTTCTGTACAGCTCCATTTTTAAAAGTTATTAGGGGGTTCATGTTTTCTATGATTGACACCTGATACAGCCTATGGGAGGACAGAGATTGAGTAGATCACCCGGTGGGGTTACGCTGTTTGAGCCGAGCGACTGTGGGCGACTCCCCATCCATAGTGCACAACAGGAAATGAAGAAAATCGCAGAAATACTGAGAGGTTTTTGGCTTCAAATCCGTAAACTGGCGGGCGGCGGAACCAAGTTGGTTATAGTTTATACGGTCTAAGGCGTTGGCCTCTAAATCTTTGTAGGTTTACCGGCCTGCTTAATCTCACAGAGAAGACAGAAACCCAGTTCTAGTTTCCTTGTGATTTGTTGTTGTCTCTTTTCAATCACACAGGGTTTTGTTGCCGTTCCCACAAAGAACCCCGATGGCACCATGAATCTGATGAACTGGGAGTGTGCAATCCCTGGAAAAAAAGGAGTAAGTTACCTTTGTAGCACTTTGAAGTCACAGTAGGATATGAAAGTCCCTTTTAGGGCCTGTGCCAACAATAAAAAGATCTAAACATACGTGGTTTTGAGCGTGGACTAACGGAGTTAGCAGCACATAAAAAAACACTCAACCCGACCAGAAAAACCCTCAAAATTGTGCGCACGACTCCCCCCTGTGAAGCCGGGTCCTCTTTTTGGAGGTCCAGAGTAAGGTCACCCTGATTTGACTTTATACCGACCAAGTAAATGTTTTTAATTTAATTATTTTTAGACTACATCTTTTCTGTTGTCAGACTCAATCAAATTTTGAGTTCACATTGAAAACCTCGTCTACTCTTATTAAATCAAAGAAAGGCATTGATTAGGGAATCGTTAAAGAATTGAATTGATAAGCAGAATCTTTAATGGCAACAATATCGATAAAATCGTATCAATTCCCTAGTTTTGCTGGAGAAGATGCCTGAATAGTTACACGAACAACTTTGAGTGTTTCAGACTTGTTCTGAGCAGGAAGCTCGAAAAAAGAGAGTCTGAAAAAACGTGCTTATTGGAGGAAGACAAACTCAGTAAATAATGTAAAAAATATATTTATGACACATTTTCTGTGGACTTTCTTGAGATCTGTGAGTCATATAATGATGTTTTAATAAAATCAAATGGTGGATTCACTTCCGTCCGAGTTTGAAGAGAATTTTAAATTTTTACTGAAGACAAAGAAAACAAGCCGAGTTATAAAGTCAGAAGATTCTTTGTCTCTAAGTTTAAATACGCTAATGTTCCCACAGCCACTCATGTCACTTTGGTTATAACCTCTTATTCACTGATTAGACGCTGTGGGAGGGCGGACTCTACAAACTCCGAATGCTGTTTAAAGATGACTACCCGTCTTCACCGCCCAAATGTGAGTATCACTCAGAACTTCATGCAGAGTTTGTCTGTAGTAAAGGTCACAGAGGAAAATAACTGTCCGACAGAGAGAAGGTGACTTTAAATATATAAAATGATCTGAAGAAAACAGCCGTTTGGAGTTCCAACAGATCGATCCAGAGCTGCATTATTAATATTTTATTCACCAGGTAACGTTAAAGTAAGAACGCGTTCACACCAGGACTGTTCGATTCGTTTTTGAAGGAGATCTACAGTAGATAGTATTCTGTAGATATCTACAGTATAGATGCTAACCGTCCACTCCATGACTTTTTCAACAGGCAAATTTGAGCCTCCGATATTCCATCCAAACGTTTACCCATCAGGCACTGTGTGTCTCTCCATCCTGGAGGAGGACAAAGACTGGAGGCCCGCCATCACCATCAAACAGGTCTCCCAGCTCTTACACATCAGTTCAGGCCTTTAGCTGAAAGATGATTCTGGTTCGTTTCTGTGTCATCATGTCTGTTTTTGAGGGATTTACGTTCCTGTAACTGCAGATTAATTTTGGCCTTCGATGGAGAGAACTGTAGGGAAGAGATCTACGTACAGACATCAGGGTTTCAGATAAAAGACTGACTGAGATCTGACTGTGTCTTTAGATCCTGTTGGGGATCCAGGAGCTGCTGAATGAACCCAACATTCAGGACCCCGCCCAAGCAGAGGCGTACACGATCTACTGGTGAGTCTTTGAAACACGTTTGATCATCAGTGATGATGAAAAAACGCTGTTGGGACTAAAACGGGGGGAAATACATTTTTAATGAGGCCACATGTCGGGGGGCCGAACCAACAACCACTTTAAATCAGCGGGGGGGGTCACACTTACAGAAAAGACCAAATAAGTAACGAGTTAAAAACAAACCCCACAAAAGTTCAGCCATGACTCACGAGTTTTACCAGAAGACGTCTGAGAGAAACGAGTTCAAGTCGTTTATAATAACAGACTCAGGAACTCTAAGGCGTCTACGAATATTTGACCGATGTTTAAACTTCCTCTGTTCACGAATGTTGATCTAAGATGTACGTATGTGTGTCCAAACGGAAATAAAACAACCGATAGGTTTTCAAAATAAAAGCCCTTTTATAGCATGTTGATGATTTGATTGACGGACCTCTCGAAGAGTCGGGCAGAGACATCCTCGGGCCGTAGGTCTGCACTAAAACCACCTTTTTTAAGGGCGACTTAATAGATGAACTTCATTTTTATTTAGTTTGATTTAGAGAAATCCTGAGCGAACCAACACCGCTCATCTCAGCAGAAAAGGCCGTTTGTTTACTTCCAAAGAGGACAAAGAGAGAACGTTTGTAAAATATCAAAACAGAAACTTCGTATTAAAGAAAAGATCAACTAAAGTCAAAAAAAAAAAACCCTGACAGAAACTCTGAAGGGGAACAAATCTCTGTGGAGCTCGCTGTCAGAGTACATGTTTGACTTAAACACACTCCCGGCTTTGACCACACAGTGGCGCTCTGACTGAAATCACGTTATTGTCTGATAGTTCAGATTCAAGGCCGACTAAAAGCTGAAATATGGGAGTTGATACTTCATGTTTCCATGAGGGGGCAGTATCGCTCTGACCACATTGTATCGGTAGATGAATTTAATTCTGTTTTCAAACTTTCTGACTCAGTCATTAAAAACTTTATTTCACCACAACTGTGACTGAGTGAAAAAACGAAGAGCATGAATGTTCAGAGACGGACCCTGAATCTTTGAGAAACAGTAACTTCCTGTTTTCTGTCTGAATGATCGAGTTTCATGAAGGCCGTTTGTGTCCGAGTGAAGTGAAGACAGAAGCAGAGAGGTCCATCACAGATGAAACATCATCTTTTGTTGACAGTAGGGGGCGCTATGGCTGTAGGTAAATAATAATAATCATACTTAGAGAGGGTGGAAGTCTCCTTCACTGCTGCCTTTTATAAAAGGATGAAAGTTCCTTAAACTGTGGCGGTCTCACGTCATGGCGAGTCTCCGTGTTCCTTTATAAAAATCACCTTCATCACATTTTCAACCGTAAACTTTGTACTTCAGATATTTTCAGTCATGAAGGAAGTTCAGGATCAAACGTCACCGAGTTTGGAATAAATGTGTAAAATAATTATTAATCTGTATGTTTTCTACGTTCATTCTACCTTTGCACAGTGTTGCTGCTTTTCTAACGGTTCTACATGGAGAGAAACGAGTCTGAGTGAGAAGTCCTTTATCTCAGGAGTTATTCTAATCACAATGTTGGTAAAAGTATTTGAAGTCTGGAGTACTTTAAGTGTTTTTATGGTGGGCCGGAGTCTTTCTCAGCTCAGGAACTGCAGCTCTAAATAAACAGACTATGTGGTTAAAAACGTCGTCATGTTTTTGTGTGTTTTTCTCCTCGCAGTCAGAACAGGATGGACTACGAGAAACGTGTCCGCGCCCAGGCCAAGAAGTTCGCCCCCACATAAAGAGGAGGAGAGCCGGCCTGTGAGCTGCCTGAACATCCAGAACTGATGATAGAGGAGGCGGAGAGGAGGCAGTCTGCACCTGAAGGACCACTCCAATGCGAATCCAGATTTAAGTATTATCATTTCACAGTCACACAGGTGACCGGTGGGCCGATTTTGACCTTTTCTTCCTGTTTGAAACTCCAAAACTTCTTCATTTCTCCCTCTTCAGCAAAGACTCGTGCAGATTTGATGATCATCTGTCGTCTGTTTCAGTTCGTTAATATTCCACATCTGTTTTTTTTCCTTTCTTTCATCACAGCTGTTCACCTGTGCCTCCATTCATTCTGTACATGAAGCTAATGTATGAAAAAACTCCAGATTTCAGGATCCATTTCCAAACCTTTCTGTCATGTTAGAGACGTTTTTACGGGAGTTTAATGTTCTGGTTTTAGAAGAAGTCCATGTTTGTTAGAGACGGTGTTTCAGGAGGATGACGAAGCAAAGAGGCTGAAATCTTTCAGTGAGATCGCTCTGATTTACAAGAACACAGAAACAAAACCATCAGGTCAAAGACGATGTTTGTGTCGTTGGTTTTGAGCCCAAAGAAGTCGAGAAACTTTCAGCAGATCTGTGGAGTCGAACCTTTTTCAGAGTTCAGATGACCGACTCCCAGAAAGAAAAAAAAAAACATCTCTAAGTCAGTCGAGCTGAAAAGACCCGACAAAACAAACATTTCTACTTCTAACAAACCCGTCGGTGATTCAGGTGTTTCAGCAGCTCAGTATTTAAAAAGTTCCATCGGGTCTTTTTCGAGTTTTCAGCGTTAAAGTCACTCAGAGGACACGTTTGTTTCAGGTCCAAAATCTGATCATTATTTATATTTACTCATTTTCAGGAATGAAACGGTGACGATTGATGAAACCCTCATTTTAAGAACGAGGTTTATGTACGATCAAAAGAACTCTAGTGATCCCCTTATCAATATCAGATCAACTTTATGATCCTTGTGCAGAATGAAGTCCTGACAAAAGTCGGTTTTTTACTTTTTGAAACTGCAGAAATTGATCAAATCTGTTTCTTTCTAAGTTTTACTTCACCTCAGTTTGCTGAAGCCTCTGTTAAATTTAACATTTACAGTAGAACTGACTCTAAAGTTAAAGACTGATCAGATTTCCCATCAGCCTCAGAGATGAAATTTCATCTACAAGTTTTTCATTTTTGTGCAGAAACAAAAAAAAAAAAAAACGACAAATCTGCAGAAGGATTCATTTTTATTGGGAGGTTAGTGTTAAAATCTAAAAATCCAAGTTTCTGTTTCTCTTCTTTTGTACAGTAGAAACTCAGAGGGCTGCTGTTGTTGAACATTGACAGTGAAACTGAGACTCACTTGAACCAGCTGACCTAAAGTGGCAGCAGTTGGTTTCTATCGGAGGGTGAAGTGACGACAGAAACAACGTCGGCGTTTCTTAGTTTTTGGTCCGAACTTTGAGGAATCAGAGGTGTGACTCTCAAAACGATCGTAATCATCATTATCTGCTAACGCTTAAAAATTTGGTGACGCTTCAGAGTAAAAGCTACAACACTGGCTGCTTTGTGGTTTTTCAGTGCTTTATGAAATATAATCGCATACTTCACTCTTGGTTCAGTCTTTTCTTCCACGTTCCTTTGAAACAGACACAGAGCTGAAAAAATGTTCAATAAAAATCTGAAATCCGTTTATCAAACAGGAGCTGAAGGATCTTTGTTGGACAATGACGGCAGTTTATTTCAGCTGAAAGAAAAAGGAAAGGCCTCTGAAAAAACGAGTGCATGTACATAATATAAATAATGACGATGACTTGTGGAAGGTATGTTTTATATTGTTTTAGCCAGTTGACATTTGTGTGTGGTATTGTAACAAAAGACCATAAAAAATGGCATTCAATTGTGAAATAAAGTCAAAGAAAAGGAAAACAAATGTCTTTTCTTTCTTTACTTGTTTTTTAATTCTGTGTTTATAACTTTAAATCAGGTTTTTTTAGATCTTAGTCGTCTCAACACGGTTCACTTCAGTATTCAGACTTTTCCAGCTCACACTAACGTTCACAAATACAGAAAAAGGGAAAGAAACTCATTACCGTATTCTCCAGACTATAGGTCACACTTTTTTCATAGTTTGGGTTTGTGACAAAAATGCTTCTTACACCTATACATATATATATATATATATTTTTCTTCTTTATGCATTTTTGTGCTGCTGCGACTCACACTCTGGTTTGTCTTATTTGTGTCTTTTTCTACTTTATTTTGCGTTTTTTTGCAGGTAGATCTTCTTGTTTTATTTTCCTTTTCCAATTCGCTTCACGACTGTTTGTCAAAGCGCTTAATTAACTTCTGTTTTTAAAAGTGCAATAAAGATAAAAAGGAAATAAATAAAAAAACTTAAAACAGAAAAATAAAGACGTAGGCCGTCGTCCCGCTGTGATCACACACGACTGTAAACTTCGTTTGCTCGGCTTTTATGATGATGTTCAAAACTGTCTCTTAGTTTTAATTAAAACTGTTTTTTTTTCTTCAGAGTTAAGACAAAAGTGTCCGACCTGAGCAGAGCGAGGACATTAGAAGCTGATTTCTCCAAACTGAACCTGGTTCTTCTGGTTTTCATGCTGAGAATAGATGATATATTTTTTTATAATGTTTTTTCTCTGTGGTTGTTTTTCGGTCGCTCGTCCGGCGCTCACGTTGAGCTCTCACGTCTCTTGCGTGATATTTTTCAGAAATGTGACACCTTTTGTCTTGGCTCACTTCACCTGCGGTTTTTTGGTTCAGCGTGACCTCGATGGACTAAAACAGAACCTGCAGAGACAGGTGAGAAACCTGCATGGTTTTCTCACCTGTGTTTTTGTCAATATTTGGCCTGTTGCTGAGCTGTTGTGGTTATTTCCTCTGAACCTGTTGTGGAGGAGGGGAGTGCAGTAAAAACCTCTCCGGTGCTGCTCCGGTCTCGACCTGTTTGGGTCCACAAAGTTCTGACCGCTCGGGTCGCTGAGTTCACGGTTTTTTAATCTACAGGTGTGAACGTCAGCGTCCGCTCTCTGTTTCCTCCTTTTATGTTTCCTTTTGTTTCAGTGTCTCCTTATCTTTGTGCAGCTTTTGCTCTCCGTGTGTTTATATATGTTGTTATGACTGGGGTCATAATTGGTTGAGTGTCTGCTGGGTGTGTGTGCTCTGTGTTTTCGTTGTGTCAATCTTGTATGCAAATAGGTGTGTGCCACAGCAACGCGGTCATTGGTGGGATGGACTACGCCCTGTATGGTGATTGGCCGAGACCAGCTATATTGAGAACCAAGATGGCAGCCACCATGTGCAGAGGCCAGGCGTTCCTCATCCTCCTCCTCTCCCAACCGGCCACCCTATTTTGCAGCTTAAAGACTATGGTGTATTGTGTTCTGTTTTCCGTCAGTAGTAGGGGTGGACTGCCAGTTTTGTTAACATTATTTTCTCCTGTGTATTTTAGTTAGGGAGGTAAGTCTTTTGTCATTTGTTTCCTTTGTTTTGGTTAGGGAAGGACTTACTACTCAGACAGGATTATTTTTGGTTGTTGTTTTGGCCTTGGTCCACCCTGAAGTCTAGTTATCCAGCCTTAGTTCTTTTGTCTATCTTTTGTTATTTACTGATTTATACAAATAAATCTTTATCTTTAACTTTAACTGGATCTCGGTTGTTGTGGCTACTTGGGACTTGGGGATGATGAGGCCTTCTCATGTTGTGCCCTAGGCACCCCTAGACTGGGGCGTAACATGAATTGGGGGCTCGTCCGTCTTCTTGTCGCGTTTTCTTCGGTGAGTATGTATTTTTCTGGTTGGTAGTTTTTTTTTGTGTGTGGGGGGAATTATGGATTTTTCACTGGATGATTTTATGGCCAGTCCCTCTGTTGCTAAAATTGAAAAGTGTAAAAAAGCAGACCTGTTGATTGTGGCAAATTTCTTTAATGTAAAAGTACCATACAATGTCAACAAAGCAGAGCTCAAACAGTTGCTGTGTGCACAGTTGGTGGAGCAGGGCGTCTTACCTAAACCAGCGCTTGATGCGGTTGCTGCGGGTGATGTGGCTAGTGTCGCACCGGGGGCTGAGGTGAAAGCGGCGGGGGCTGCTGGCACGCTCGCTGCTGGTGCGGAACTTGGGCCGGTCACGGATCCTCTCATGGGTACCATGACCACAGAGGATCTCCGCATAGCACTCCAAATAAAGGAGGCAGAGACCCGAAACAAACAGCTAGAGGTACAAGCAAAGGAGGCCGAGACCCGAAACTTGCATCTACGCTTAAGGGTTCTCGAGCTGGAAAAAGGAGCCTTTGTAGCCTCTACCCCAGTGTCTCCTGTTGACCGCAGCTCTGTTTCTGCTCCCGCTTTTGACATAAGTAAGCACATTGCTTTAGTCCCTCCGTTTCGTGAGTCCGAGGTGGACTCGTATTTTAGCGCTTTCGAGCGGATAGCTGCTGCCCTTAGTTGGCCTAAAGAGTTCTGGTCCCTTCTCCTCCAGTGTAAATTAGTGGGGAAAGCTCAAGAAGTCTGTGCCAGTCTGTCCATTGAGGATAGTCTGGATTATAATGTCTTGAAAAAGACTGTGTTGCAGGCCTACGAGCTGGTCCCTGAAGCCTATCGGCAAAAATTTAGAAATAGTGTGAAAACTTCCAACCAGACCTATGTTGAATTTGTGCGTGACAAGAGCGTTCTGTTTGATAAATGGTGCCACGCGTGTAATATTAAAACTATGGCGGAAATGAGAGAGCTCATTTTGCTCGAGGAATTTAAAAAGTGTTTGCCGGAGCGAATTGTCGTATATTTGAATGAGCAAAAGGAGTCATCGGTAACGAAAGCAGCTGTGCTCGCCGATGAGTTCATTTTGACTCATAAAAGCGTTTTTTCTTTGCCAACCCCTCGTGTTTTACATCCAATGTCTGAGCGCAGAAACCGATCGCCAAAGCTGATGCGTAAAAGCACCTCACCAGCTGCGGGTGAGAGCCGCGAGTGTTTTTATTGCCACGAGCCAGGCCATTTGATCGCTGCATGTCCGACTCTTAGAAAAAAAGGACAACACAAAAACGGTAAACCTCCTGCAGGTGTGGGTTTCATTAACACCGTGTCCCCGCCTGTAACACTCCCGGAGTCTTTACCTGAAGCCGAGGTAAATGTGGAGGTTGACCCTCGTTTCAAACCGTTCGTTTCACAAGGATTTGTTTCTGTAACTGGCGAGGAAGCGGATAAAGTACCGGTAACTATTCTCCGAGATACAGCCGCCTATCATTCATTCATTCTGTCTAGTGTTCTGCCGCTCTCAAATGAAACTTCATGTTTCTCTGATTTGTTAGTGTGGGGAATTAAAATGAGCGAACTTAACGCCCCACTTCACATGATTCACTTGCATTCACCGCTCGCGTCGGGGCGTGTGAAAGTTGCCGTGCTCCCACGGTTTCCGATTAGTGGCATTTCGTTTATTTTGGGTAACGATCTGGCCGGAGGAAATGTGTTTCCTCTGCCAGAGGTCGTTAACGATCCCATCTCGGTTGCGTCTGCCTGCTGCCCCACCTCTGTTTCTTCTGCTGTGTCTGTGCCAAATGTGTTTCCTGTGTGCGCAGTTACGCGCGCACAGGCTCGTAAATGGGGTAAAGCTGGGGATTTATGTAATTCGTTTATGGCTACGTTAGATGAGGGTGAGCCCTCCTTTTCAGTGTCCCCCGCTATTGAGTGTGAAAATGTATCGAAATGTGTCTCTGAGCCTGATGTGTTTCCTGCTGACGCAGACTTGAGTTTAAACGTGACCCGAGAGATGTTGATAAATGCTCAGAGAAATGATCCGTCTCTAAATTTGTGTCTGTCCTCTGTTGTAGCCGCCGAGGACGACAGCCAGACTTGTGTGTTTTTCGTGGACAACGGTGTCTTGATGAGACGGTGGAGTCCCGACTCCAGGGAGATACCCGTTGTTAATCAGGTGGTTGTGCCAACAGACTATCGAGCGCAAATTTTGAGTCTGGCACATGACTCCAGCTTAGCTGGCCACCTCGGTGTTAAAAAGACATATCATCGTGTGTTGCGCAATTTTTTTTGGCCTGGGTTAAAAACTGATGTTGCGAAATATTGCCGCAGCTGTCACACATGTCAAGTTGTAGGAAAACCCAATCAACCTATTCCTCCCGCACCCCTGCATCCTATCCCGGTGCTAGGGGAGCCGTTTGAACGAGTGTTGATAGATTGTGTGGGTCCGTTACCAAAAACTAAATCAGGACATCAATACATCTTGACTGTGATGTGCGCTGCGACGCGGTACCCTGAGGCCATCCCGCTGCGCTCTCTCAGAACAAAACCAGTTGTGAAAGCCCTCACTAAATTCTTTTCAACTTTTGGCTTGCCTAAAACTATTCAGACTGACCAAGGTACAAACTTCATGTCCAAACTCTTCACACAGGTGATGAAAGAGCTAAAAGTTAAACATGTCACATCAAGTCCTTACCACCCAGAGTCCCAAGGCGCGCTTGAGAGGTTCCACCAAACATTAAAATCCATGATGCGCAAATACTGCCTCGAGTCCAACAGAGAGTGGGATGAGGGCCTCCCTCTTCTGTTATTTGCTGTGCGTGAAACTCCTCAAGAGTCTTTAGGTTTCAGTCCCTGTGATTTGGTTTTCGGCCATACGGTGCGCGGTCCCCTTCGGCTCCTCAAAGAAAAGTGGTTGGCAGAGTCGCCAAAAACTGAGCATAATGTGCTGGATTATGTCAGTTCTTTCCGTGAGCGTCTCAGCCATGTGTGTCAGTTAGCTCGTGACAATTTGGCACAGAGCCAAACTAAAATGAAGCGTCGTTATGATAGAAAGTCTGTCCTCCGTGTGTTCCAGCCAGGTGACAAAGTTCTGGTGCTGCTTCCACTACCTGGGTCCAGCTTGCAGGCTCGGTTTTCGGGTCCCTATACGGTGGAAAGAAAAATTAGTGACACAGACTATGTTGTTCACACACCAGATCGAAAACGAAAATCCCGAATATGCCACATTAATATGTTGAAACGTTACTTATCTAGAGTGAGTGATCCACTGCAGTCTCCCGCTGTGTCCGTGATGTCTGTGTCCGCTGCTCCTCCTCAGTATCATCTTGGTGATGATGGATTGGCAGAGAAAAGTGGTTTGATGCCGGCCGCTCGTTTGAGAAATTCAGAAGTCCTGAGTAATTTGGAGGGTTTTTTGTCCCATTTGTCCGATTCGGCCCGTGCAGATATGGTAGCTTTAATCGAGGATAACCTGTTGCTTTTCTCTGACCATCCCAGCCAAACCTCGGTCCTGTATCATGACATCGACGTGGAGGGCCACAAACCCATTAAGCAACATGCATACAGGGTAAATCCGACTAAGCGGGCCATGATGCAGAAGGAGGTGAGCTATCTGGTTGAACATGGTTTAGCAGTTCCCAGTACGAGCGCGTGGAGCTCCCCCTGCGTTTTGGTTCCGAAATCCGATAAAACACCTCGTTTTTGTAACGATTACAGAAAGGTAAATTCAGTCACTAAAGCCGACTCCTTTCCTCTTCCCAGAATGGAAGATTGCATAGATCGTGTAGGCTCCGCTAAATATGTGACAAAGCTGGACCTGTTAAAAGGTTACTGGCAGGTTCCTTTAACCCCACGGGCCTCAGAAATATCCGCTTTTGTCACACCCGACACCTTTCTTCAGTACACGGTCATGCCATTCGGGCTGCGTAATGCTCCCGCTACTTTTCAAAGGTTGATGCATCGCGTATTATCTGGTGTAGAAAATTGCGAGGCTTATTTAGATGACGTAGTTGCCTACTCCTCCACCTGGTCCGAGCATCTCCACACACTGTCCCTCATCTTCAGCCGTCTTCGTGAGGCCTCTCTCACGCTTAACCTTGTAAAGTGTGAGTTCGGAAAAGCCACTGTTACCTATTTAGGAAAACAGGTTGGTCAGGGGCAGGTGCGTCCGTTGGCCGAAAAAGTGCAAGCGGTTATTGATTTCCCGGTCCCACAGTCCAAGAAAGCGCTGCGTCGTTTCCTCGGAATGTGTGGGTATTATCGTGGTTTTTGTCGAAATTTTTCTGAAGTGGTGGCTCCTCTCACAAGCCTTGTAAGTCCATTGAGAGCTTTTGTTTGGTCCCCGGCTTGCCAGGCTGCCTTCGAGTCTGCCAAGGCGTTATTGTGTAGTGCCCCTGTCCTGGCCGCGCCCTGTTTTTCGCGCCCTTTTAAATTAGAGGTTGACGCCAGCGCGTGCGGGGCAGGTGCTGTTCTGTTACAGGAGGATGATCAGGCTATTGACCACTCTGTTTGTTATTTCTCCAGAAAGTTTAATAAGCACCAGCTTAATTACAGCACTATCGAGAAGGAAGCTCTCGCCCTTCTACTTGCCTTACAATATTTTGAAGTTTATCTCGGGTCTAGTTCGCAGCCTGTCCACGTGTATACGGATCACAATCCATTAGTATTCCTTGCCCACATGCGCAATTCTAACCAGCGGCTTATGCGCTGGTCTCTTCTCCTGCAGGATTTTAACCTGCAGATTTGTCACAAGAAGGGCACAGAAAATGTGATAGCAGACGCTTTGTCGCGGTGTTCCTCAAATCCGTAGATATTAAACATTTAGGGGGATGTTTAATTCTTGGGTGTGGGGGTGTTATGACTGGGGTCATAATTGGTTGAGTGTCTGCTGGGTGTGTGTGCTCTGTGTTTTCTCTGTGTCAATCTTGTATGCAAATAGGTGTGTGCCACAGCAACGCGGTCATTGGTGGGATGGACTACGCCCTGTATGGTGATTGGCCGAGACCAGCTATATTGAGAACCAAGATGGCAGCCACCATGTGCAGAGGCCAGGCGTTCCTCATCCTCCTCCTCTCCCAACCGGCCACCCTATTTTGCAGCTTAAAGACTATGGTGTATTGTGTTCTGTTTTCCGTCAGTAGTAGGGGTGGACTGCCAGTTTTGTTAACATTATTTTCTCCTGTGTATTTTAGTTAGGGAGGTAAGTCTTTTGTCATTTGTTTCCTTTGTTTTGGTTAGGGAAGGACTTACTACTCAGACAGGATTATTTTTGGTTGTTGTTTTGGCCTTGGTCCACCCTGAAGTCTAGTTATCCAGCCTTAGTTCTTTTGTCTATCTTTTGTTATTTACTGATTTATACAAATAAATCTTTATCTTTAACTTTAACTGGATCTCGGTTGTTGTGGCTACTTGGGACTTGGGGATGATGAGGCCTTCTCATGTTGTGCCCTAGGCACCCCTAGACTGGGGCGTAACAATGTTTATAAGTCAAATCCGAAACACCTTATTAAAGGGATATTCTGCTGTAAAATTAATTTAAGGTCAAACCCACCGTAACACCGAGTTAGACCCCCCCTCCAGAGATGAATGTTGTCGACCGCTTCCTTCTCTAGTTATACCAACTTTAGTAACGACCGCAGGATAGAAATACAGAGAGCCACGCCCCCAACCAAAACGCCACTCTATAGCCACAAATAATGCTCAGAACAGCACCTAACTTCATCAACAGGACATATAGGGTCACAGACATAGTACTAGACACCAAACATCTTTTTAACTTTGACTCATTTCTTTAGCAAAGAGACGAAACACAACTCACCTACTCTCTTCCAGCAGCCGGCGCAGCAGCAGGTCTGGATCAGGATGATATGATCAGTGATGAGCTGAAGTTTGAGATCCACAGAGAGGATGTTTCAGAAACAGAACCTGCAGCGAGAAACCGAACTGATAATTATTGTTTTTCAAAGTTAGTTTAAGCTGAAAAAATACGTCAGAATAAGTTTCTTTAACTGAATACAGGATTAAAGCCCCAAATCCAAAACTAAACCCAGTTTTTTGACTAAACAGAGAAAAGTGTCTGTAACATCGATGTTCAGTCAGTGTGGATTTAGATCTTTGTGATTTTAACTAATGAACTATAAGATTTAATGATTTCCACAGTTAAAAATAACTGACTGCAAAGTTTTGGTTTTTAAAATCTATTATTTCAGCTTTTTTAGTTTTTATTCTCCAACTCTTCGTTTAAACTCTGAGGACAGAAAGATCTTCTGACCCACCAGAACCCGTCTTTGATACCGCTTCAGTTTTAACCTTTTACCCTCTTATTCACATCTACGTCCTTTTTCTGCTCTTCTGTTTTATTAACTATTTCTTGGTGCTTAAAAATATGCAGTTTGGTTTCTTGTCTGCAGTTTAGGGTACGACAAAGGGAGGCGGCACTTCTCACAATAAGACCACAACACACACGTGGGCCCTGAACTCAAGACTGCGACTAAAACTGAAGTGAGATTTACAACTACACACTGTGTTGTGTAAGTTTGACACACTAACTGATAAAAAGAAAAGGTGAAATACCACTTAAAGATCATTGGTGAGATAAGTTTGTGTTATTTGTGATGCATCTGTGGTGTGGTTGAAACCAGTCATTCATCGTTCGAGTGAAATCGTGTTTGACACTGAAAACTCACAGAAGTGTTTGGATTTGATTTGATGAACCTTTTTTTTTTTCTCTGACTTCCTTACAGGTTAAAAGACAAACAGAAGCAGGACTGACGGAGTTAAAATCTCAGGATGGAAGAGTGACGGCGGTTTTAGCAGGAACCACTAAAATGTGAATCCAGTCACAGCTGTCTGCTTTTCTTTGGTCAGATCGTGAAAACCTGTGAAAGATTTTTACTTGTAGAAACTGAGTGATGAGAGTTTAAAGTTGTAAACAATAATTGGACGTCTATATATGAGCAAAGTTTCAGATGAAAGTTTAATGTGAAGGACGTGTGGAAAACTCTGCATGTCTGATTAAAAATATCACAGAAGAATTTAATCAAGATGTTTTTTTCCAAACGGTGACGTCAGTCGACAGAAAAGCTCCTGATAACGGCACATTTGTCTTTTATAAAAGAAACCCAGATTTGTTGTTTGGCAGCAGTGAAGGAGGCTTCCAGAATGCTGGGGGACCTGAGAGGGACGGGAGCTGAAGGAGGTTTTGATATTAGTTATTATCGTCATTGACTTTAAGATTTTAACAGAGAGAGTTTGAGGCTAAGGGATCTATTATCGTCACCCTCCGCCGTGCCGCCGGCGGGCGCCAGATTAGAGCCCCATATCTTTATGTCAAAACTGTTTGACTGCAGTAGTTTGTCTAATTAAGTAAACTTTGCACTGTTCTAGTTGCTTAATATAAGTTTTCAACATTAGCATGCTAATTCTCTGTGTTTAAATATGTGGAAAACATCAAATATGTGAAACTTTGATCGTCATAAATATTAAAGCGGACAGACCATAAAATGTTTGATTTTAGCTGAAGCGTCACTGCGCCGCCACAAACCGATATGTGCAGCCGAGCATTGATTGTTGTCGACTCCTGCTAATCTCTGACCTGTGGTAATCAGAGTTTTACATGTTTTACTGTTTCACCTCCTCAGTGAGTCAAACAGTTGCTCTTATCATTTGAATAAACCGGTATTTTCAGTTCCACTGTGCCCTCCGCTGCTGCCAGTCTCACCTCCTCCCCTTTCGACCTCCTTCTCAGTCTTTGTGGTCTGGGTAACGCAGACCGTTTCCTTGCAGAAACATCACTCTGGTCTTTGTTGCAGCTCTCCACCTCAGGCGTTGACCTTTAGAGAAGAGCTGTACTCTGCTTTGTCTTCCTCTGTGAGCTTCAGTGCTCATCACTCTTGTTATCAGCGCTCGCTGATGCTGACACCTCAGTAACTGCAGGAACGAGAACATCAGTCACTTCACCCTTTGGCTGTCTGAGCAAATTCAACCATCAAAACCAGTCAGTTTCAGAGTTCAGACACTCTGTGTTGCAATAGTTGTTTTTTCATGTATGGATGCTCGAGCATTTCACAACGGCCTTCAGTGAACCTGAGAACTGAGAGGAGCTTTCATACAGACGAGCAATAAAAACAAAAAAACTGAAGATTTCAACTTTTCAACGGTCTGCTGCTCATGAAGGAGTTTCCTGTCCACGCTCTAAAGGGCTTCTTGTTCATTTTCTGACACGTCTAAATAAACTTTGATTTAACTTTTACAGCTCGAACAGCGTGGAGCTGAAACACCATCCCATCAGGTTTTGCTCTAAAGCAGAGGAGAGCTGTCTGGTTCCTGAGGTTGGTGAAGAGACTCTCCTGTTATTGAGAAGGTTCATGACGCTGTTCTTACTGTTTCTGACCCTCAACATTTCTCTTCTACTTTGTTAACAAAGCCATGAACGCTGCAGGACCCACGTTTATCAACCATCAGCTGTCAGTGAGATGACAGATATTTAAAGAACTTATCAAAACTAAACTGAGACATAAATTTACACCAGAGGAGCAACTTACAATGAAAGAAACGAAGTTTTAAAACCTTTAGTTTTTTGACTGAGACCCTGTCCTCTAAACTTCTGTATGACTGTCCCTGACATATTTAAATCAAAACATGCTGTTCGATCCGGTTCGCTGTGCTATCACTTTTCTCGATTGTATCTGAATTTTTTGCAATATTATATATAAGTCGCAAAAAACTGGAAAATTTTGTCTTGAAGTCGATGGAACAAGTAAAAAAAGAGCAATTATTAGAGACTCCATTGAAGCTCTTAAATGTAGACACACGTCTTGTCTTCTGGCGTATTGATCCACATTGATGGGAACTGAAGTTTGTGATCAGTCGCTGTTCAATGACCGGAGTTGTTTTTGGAGACATGATGGGCGTGAGATCATCGGCTAGAGTGAGAGAAGTTTCATGAAATGATCTCAAACTTTTCTTCTCAACTTATTTTCTTTAATTTGGACATTTGTGACGTTAGTCGTACTTGGAGCGAGTTTTTATCTTGTGCACTGTTTTTAACGTCTGCTGCTCAGGCTCCATTTTTCCTGTTGTATGAATAAAAACAAACGTTTATTGTAGGTCTGCTCCTTGTTTGTAAAATCACAGTGAAACTTGAGTGAAAGAATCTCATCACGATGTTCACGTCCTTCAGTGCCCCCCCCTCCACGGCTCTTAATTCACAGAGTTAATTTTCTGGTTTATTGCAGTCGGACAGAATGAGCGCTCTTATTTGTCGGTTAATACTCGTGGCGTCCATGTTACTCTCTTTATTCTCTCGGTCTCCATTTTGTCGTTTTTGGTTCAAACTTTTCTTCAAATTTGGATAAAAGTTACAAACGTTGAATTCACAGAATTTTCTTCCTGGATCTAAAAAGTTTTTCTTATTTTATCTCACAAAAGCTTCGAACTGTCTTGGTTTTTGAATTCTGTTTTAATTAAACAGCCTCATTATGAAGCTCAAATCTCACAGAAACCCTGGAAATAAAGACGGTTAAAGAACAAAAGTTCATTTTTGTTCAGAGAGTGTTTACTGACCTAAAGTCATATTTTTAAACTACAGTGATGTCAATGATATACAGTTTACACAGAGACAGACCAAGACATAAGCAAACTGAGCCTCTGCTTAGGGCCCCACAGCCAGTAGGGGGCCCCCAAGAGCAATTAAAAACAAAAACAAATATACATATTTATATTTGTTTTTGGTTTTTTTTGCATGTATGAGTGATGCTTTCTGTCTGATCAAATATATATTATTGTAAAAGTAAAATCATTGTAGAGCTGCTGCTGATGTCGGTCTGTGATCCTTACTGCCGATATGTCTAAGCTCCGCCCACCGTCATGTTCCTCTGTGTGTGTCCCCCTGACCGTCATTCATCAGTCATTGGTGTTATTGATGTGATTACCTTAGATGTGTAAAGACATATCATTAAATTTATACTGTCGTAGGTGTGTAAGTGATCAATAATCAATATTATTGGCAGAAATAGAGGACCCCGATGAAGCTTGGGTCGGCTCTGAGTTTAAGAAACCGCTCCTGAAAAATGAAGATTAAAAGTTTCATCAGAAATGAAACTAAGAGGTTTTTGGGTCAAAGTGAGTCGACTCTTTAAAATTAAACATCCGTCAGTTTGTCCTTCATGACACCAACATCTGAACCGAAGTATGAAACGCTCTCTTTATCGAATACTCCTGAAAACATGTCATCATCTGGACAAAAACACAGAGATTTGGTCTTTCAAAGACTTTTTAAAATACCTTGGTCTTCTGAAAACTTCAGTCACACTTTAACTTTGAGTGTTTAATTTCAGGGTCGATGGACGAAGACGTGCAGAGAGGAAGTCTTTAAGGCCTGTGGCTTCAGAGCTGATCTGTGACCTTTCTGTGCAGAGTGGGCTGCAGCTTTCCTCTCACTCATCTTCTCAGGGGAACTCACTCGTACTGAGATGAGTGTGCTCAGCGGTTGCGGCCGTAACAGCAGCGGTTTTGATGCTAAAAAAACTCAAGAGTGTTTGTATCTTAGACAAGCGCAGAGAGCTATATCTGATCATTTAGCCTCGTTTATCCTCCGAATCTTTGTCTGAATCCAGATTCATCGTCGTAAACCACTTCTTAAGGACCTGAAAGTGTCTCTTTATAAAACCCACTCTGCGTTCTCAATGAAACCGGATGTGGTGAGTTTTGTTTTTCTTGTTTTCAATGATCTTAAAAGCTCTCATGGAGGTGAGGTCCAGGTAGCTGCTTCTGGTGTTCATCTCTACAACTGAGAAATGACCTCACCCTTCCTCCTCCTCCTCCTCCTCCTCGTCTTCCTGCTCCTCCTCCTCCTCCCCTCCGTACGCTGTGGCCCTCTCTCACTACAGCTCACAGCTTCATTAAGCTTCCTGTTAGCCCCACACAGGCTGTGGTTACCAGAGAAAAAGGTCATTGGGCACCTAAAAAAAGAAGAAAGAGAGAGAGAGAGAGAGAGAGAGAGGGATGAGTGTGAGTAACAGAGAGAGAGAGAGAGAGTAAAACAGAGGGACAAAAGAGACAGAAGAAACGGAAATCTTCTGAAGATAATGAGTTTCCTCTCTGAGACCCTCTGAAACCTTCACTGACCAAAGACCCCAGAAAGGTAATTTTCTTTTTATTCATTTACTTCTTATTTAAACACTAAAAGAAGAAGAAGAAGAGAAGAAGAAGAAGAAGAAGAAGAAGAAGAAGAAGAGAAGAAGAAGAAGAGGCTCTTGTAAGATTTTAAAACATCTGTTTTGTTCATTTAGGTGAAACTTTCCTGAGTGATTAAAAATATGAAATAGTGATTAAAATATGTTAAAATATTCACAAAAAACAAAGTTTCAACCTTAAAGTTGTAGTTGATTCAGCGGAAAACTAAACTGCCTAATGACTCAAACTGGGGACAGTTTGTTCGAGTTCGTGGTAAATTTGGGTCAGAGTATCAGTTTTAATATCATCGCCTCTTTTTTCTGAGGAAACGACTCTAGAATCACCGACAGCTGCGTTTATTACAGCTGTTTATGTTCAGCTTTGTTGTTTCATCTAAAATATATATTTTTATTTATGAGTATGAAGCTGTGCGTTAGTGTGGATAAATATTCTTACAAAGCTCTGTGGACTTTCTTTGTATTTTATATAAAATTGTATATATTATTTTATCTTTAAGTCTGAAGTCAAGTCAACCAACGTAGAGTTTTAGAGAGGTATGATGGTTCAGATCGAACCTCTCTGAGAGATCTTTCTCCGTGAACACGGGACAGTTTTCTTCCACAGTCGCCTCTCTGAAGTGTGGGGTCCCCCAAGGGTCAGTTCTGGGTCCTCTACTATTCCCTAGACCTCTATGTTCTCCGCTTGGAGTCAAGTTTTAGAAACTCTGCTGATCCTTTTCACTGTTTAGCTGACCATGTTCAGGTCCAAAGTCTCTCTGCAGCTCGTGTTTAACTGCATTAATGATGTAAAGTCACGGACGGATCTGAACTTCTTCAGATTAAATCTAATCCGAGGTGGTCCTGTTGGGTCGCCCTGACCCGGTTCAGGTCCTGCTCCCTGGGCTCACTGGACCCTCACACAGGGTCTCATGTCAGGAATCCTGGTTTAATGATCGATGGTGATTTTTAACAAACAGGTCAAATGGAGCTTTTATCAGCTGAGGATTCTCACCAAAGTTAAATCCTATTTAAACCAGAAGGACCTTGAAAAAGTTCTCCATGCTTTTATCACGTCTCCTTTATTTATGTCGACGTTGGTCAGTCAGAACTCGACCGCCTGCAGCTCGTCTCCAAACTGGGACCAAGAAACTGGAGATCAGAACTGCGCTGATTTCCTCTCTTCACTGTTCGGGTCGATTTTAAGGTCCTTTTATTTGTTTTTAAGTCCCTGAATGACCCAGAATGTCTGACCTTGGTAAAGTGGTCAGTCCTCCAGAGTCCTGAGGTCAGCTGATCAGGTGGTTTTAGATGTTCCTCCGTCCTTTTTCAGATCTAGATCGAGGATTTTGTGGAACATTTTACGTCTGAAGACTCACCTGTTCACTTCAGCTGCTTTTATTGGGGATTTTATTGATCTACTATATTTATCTTTATTGTTGTTTTATGTTTTTATAGTTTTTATAGTTTTTATTGTCTCTGGTTATTTTCCTGTAAATCACTTTGGTAGACCACTGACTGTTTTTAAATGTGAGTTATAAATAAAGCTCACATTGACATTAAATCAAGTCTTAATCCTAAATCCCAAGTCAGAGTCATAATCCCTGATCTTCAGGTCATAGTTCAATCTTTGTCTCAAAACCTCAAATCCAAAACTAAAGTCTTCGGTGTTCAAGTCTGAGTCAAGTCTTTGTTGACAAACCTCAAGTCCAAGTTCTGAACCATCAGGGTCCAAATCAAGTGTAAATCCTTCGTCTTCAGGTCCGAGTCTCGAGTCTCCAGTGTCCAGTCAGGTCTGCCCAGTTTAAGTCCTCAGAGTTCAAACCAAGTCAGACCGTTTTTAATTCAAGTCTGACCATCGAAGTCTCAGACCTCGTCCACATGTAGACGGGTTTCTGCTAAAACGAACATTTTCATCTACGTTTGATTCATCCACATGAAACTGCAGGATGACGTCATTAAAATCGCTGCTTTTGGAAATCTGCGGCCGAAGTGAACGTTTGGAAAACTCTGTTTTTGTGTTTTTATGTGGACATAAAAAAACAGAGTTTTAAATTCACAAACGTCCGAGTCTGTGACGACTGACAGATAAACTGACAGATGTCTTTGTTTATGCCGGGCAGTGGACGGCACAGATCTATACAGAATCTATCAATCTATCTATCTATACATCTATATATCTATATATCTATATATCTGTCTGTCTGTCTGTCTGTCTGTCTGTGGGTCTGTCTGTCTGTCTGTCTGTCTGTCTGTTACCTTGAACTGACTCACCTGTCTGTTGTTGTTATTTTCTAGCGTTTATGTCCAGTATCGATCTGTTTTGCGTCCGTTTCACTCGTTCCAGTCGTAGACGCAGCTGTCTCTCAGGATGACGGTGGATCTGGATCTGGATCTGGATCTGGATCTGGATCTTTGATGTTCATGTAGAAACTCTTTCTGGTTAAAACTCGTCCGTCTCGGTGGAGCAGAAGTTTTCATTTACTCGATGTTTGAACTTGATCAGATTTCTGCCTTTCTTTGTGTCGTTTCCACTCTTGTAAACACTTGGCTGATTAAAGTTGTGTATCTGACACTGTGGATGTGGTTTCTGAATCTGATGTTCAGTGTTTACAAACTGTCTTTAGTTGGTGTCGTCATGGCGATGGCCAGGATGGAGCTCTTGGTTCTGGTGGTCCTGTTCTCACTGGAAGATGTCCACTCTTACATCGTCTCTAAAGGTACGACAGAAGATGAGCAGAATTATCTGCCAACTACATCATCATCATCTTCATCCTCATCATCCTCATTGATCACTGTTCGATCATCCTCATTGATCACTGTTCGTCACACGCTCATTGTTCATCTAGATCCTTTCTTTCTGGTCTCTTCTGTCCACGTTTAGGACATCCAGGACTCTCCTGTGTGAATGATTTGGTCAACAACGTCAGCTGCTCATGGCGCGGCTCTCCCGTGGGTCCTGACGCCGTCTGCTGGATCTGTGGTGTGAAGTTATCGAGGAACAAGGAGAGACTCAGTGTTGAAAAAATGTAAGAAAGCAGTTAAAAGATGTTCCTGGATCACCCAGATTCTTTTCTGAGAGACTGTTTCCAGAGCCGGCCCAAACCTCAGTGGGTTCCTAAACAAAGTTTGATTGTGGGGCCCCCTATTTCTGTCAATATTATTGATTATTGATCATTCACACACCTTCACAAATCTCTTGAACATCCCTGACATGCAAACAGACCTTTATTTTGGCGTTTCTTCTCTTCTTCCTTTTTTCTGCTCCTGAAGGATTCGTCCTTTTTTATGTCATTGTTCTGACCCACAGTTACCTGCTCTTTAGATGCTCAGTGACCATTTCACAGCAGGAGCATCATGGCGGTGGGCGGAGCTTTGACATGTCGGCAGTAAGACTCACAGACTGACATCAGCAGCAGTACTAAAATGTTTTTACTTTATTTAATTTTACAATAATCTATATTTGATCAGACAGAAAGCATCAGTCACACGTGAAAAATAAGAAATATTTAATTTTTCTTTGATTGCTCTTGGGGGCCCCCTACTGGCTGCTCTGACTGCGTCAGTCCGATCTGGAACTCAAACTTCTGCTCATGGAGATGATTTCTGTTTTTTCTTCTCCAGACGATGCTGCCAGTTAAAACTTCACAGAAACTCTTTTCCTGGGTGCAGTTTTGTCTTCGAAAAGGAAGTAAGTCTCCGACATATTGATCATAATTGAACCTGCTCCGAACACCAAATACACAACAAGAACCAACAGTCTCAATAACCTGCAGGTCATGTGACTGAAGGTCATATCTGGTCGTTTTACGTAGAGGTTGACAAATATTGAATTTTCAGGACTGATGCTGATAAAGTTCATTCATTCATGAGACTGACGACCAATATTTGAACTTTTCAGGGTTCATACTATTAAAAACTAAACAACAGAGTTCAGATTATTCACCAAACGCCCGGTGAGTTTAAATTCTGTAAAACCATCTCATCAAGAGTCCACGTCCACTGAAGATTCTTCAGCCACAGGACAGACTGATGGCGTGAGAACACGTGCAAAGATCGACCAGTTAGATTGAATTTCATGAACGTGTTCACTTGTGTTGAGCTGGTTGGATCCAGAAGGAGACCCTCCAGAAAAACGCAATTTTGGGATCGCTGATTTCATCACAAAATCAGCCAAATACCGCTGATTATTGCGGATCAATATTTTTAAAAAAGCTGCATATTCACCACAATAATCAATTTTTTTCATGCAAAATATGCGAAATATTCCAGACTCGCTTGATTTCACAATCTCCGCACTTTTCTGCGTAACATCGGGTAGAGGGGAAAAAAGTCAAAACCCGCGGTGACGTAATTCATCGTGACATCATTGACTCGCACCTTCACACACAAAACAACAGCGTAGCGTGAGCGTGAGGGCTGATGGACCGCCACGTATGGAACAAACTAAAATGAAGAACGCTAATCAATCTCATCTGCGACGGACATTACCGACAAAGAGCGGGCGAACCAGTACGCCGGTGTCTTTCATGAAAGCGAGGGAAACTATTCTGCAACCCGAACAACAGCTGTGTGTCGGAGCGTAAAAGAAGATCGTCGATGACGAAAACCAGACGGTTTTATTACAGCATTTATTTAATCTTTTACAGTTCTGTGACTCACAGGTAGACGGCCATGTTTAACTCATGCTTAAGTTACTAAAATAAAAATAAAACACTTCTGTGGAGTAACTTGGTGCTTGTTCATCATATCGTCTTTAAAACGCTCTTTTTTATTCAGTAGTAGCCTTTCTGCCCGCGTTTCTCTGGAGGGTCGACAGGAGGATGAATGTTGCTGAAAAAAGATGAAAACCTGCTAAAAAAAACAGCATGACAACAAACTTCTGCCGAAGTCGGAATAAGAAAAAGTTCAGTAGTCAGACGTTGACCATGATTGGTTCGCTGCTGATGCCCCTCCCCCATTTCTCCATGACGACTGATGAATGTTTGTGAATCATTTCTGCCATGACTGTGAACCTCACGGGTCCCTGCAGGAGTTCAACTGTTTCAGAGCCATGCCCTACATCCATATGAAGTGTGACGGCGAGTTGATGGACAACTTGACCTCCTACGATCAGTGCAGTCATGGTGAGGGGCTTCACCTTTTTCACCTTCAAATGCGGTTAAAAAAGATTTCCTCACACATGATGGAGCGAAACTCTTCCATGAGTTCTAATGCGAAGTACAACAACATAATCTGGAATTATGATATTTCTTAAAGACCCACTCCGATGAAAATCGTGTTTTTCTTGTTGTCCAAACGTTCATACGGCGTTTTCCTGATGCGGAAATGTCTGTCAGGAGGTTCAGTGGAGTGTGTTCAGACACACAGCTGGGGGCGCTGTGGCGCTTTAACTGACGTTTGATTGACTCCCAAATCTATCGATCAGTGATGGAACAGTCTGCTAGTCCACTGAGGCGGATTGTGGGGAATCAACAATCCACGGTTTGATTTTATTCAATTTGACTGCGATTAGTACAAGTGGTGACAGCGGACGCTTTTCCACATTAAAGAAAAACGGATGTTTGCGATACATTCCCGTTAACATCAAGCGTTACGTTTCTACTGACTTACAGCGAGGGTCATAATTTTGGAGACGTTCACAAACATGCGAGGTGTGTAGGCCGTCACAAGTTCACACGTGGAGCAGCCCTGACGCCATGCTGGAACTGAACACACCCCACAAACGTCTCCGGTACCGTGAGTGCTGACCACACACCGAACGACCACGAAGATACCTCGAAGTTCCTCTCACAACACAAAGGTTCGTTAAATTTCTCTCTTGGTGATGACGATATTCTGAAACAGGTACTTGCAGGGTCACCGATTTCCATCTTTTCATGTTTCATGTTTGTAGCGCCATCTAATAATAATAAGTTTATTCCCCCTGACACGCGTTTCTCAAGAGACCCGATGAAATGATACGATCGGGTTGCGAGACGTGACGTTAGACGGTGATTGGTACACGGAATGTAAACATTCCACAGGTGGCAGATTTAAAGGAGAGGAGCGGTTCTGATTGGTGAAAACAGGTGTCGCTGTGTTAAACCCATTCCACGCCCTCTCTCCTCCCTCTCTACGACTCATGCCGCTGGGAGGAGCTGAGTTAGGGAGGGGGGGAAACTTACGCCGGGCTGCGCCGCTCACCAAAATACCAAAATGTGCTCAGGAACGCCTTGTCGGCGCGGTGGACCTGACTTATGCCACGCCTACACCATGTCGCCGGCGAGGAGCGGAAATAGAGCCCACTGAGAAAACTTTAAGAAGCATAAAAAATACGATCAGAGTGGGACTTCAATAAAAAACGCCGAATCTTCAGACCTCAAAGAATGAACTGATATCAGACTGAACATTTTTGACTATCGAGAATTAAATATACACTAAATCTGTGCGTGTGTGTGTGTGTGTGTATGTGTATGTGTGTGTGTGTGTGTGTGTGTGTGTGTGTGTGTGATACAGTTAAAATGCATCCTCCCGGTATGCCTAATGTCAGCAGATCTCCCAATGAGACCCAGATTTCATGGAGTCTGGGGAGGCCGACCGCCATCTTCTTGAAGGTCCTGGACTTTGAAGTTGAGATTAAACAGAAACACCAGAAGTGGGAGGTGAGGACGTGAACGGAGATCTTCCAAAAATCTATGAACTTCTCTTCATTTCCCTCAGACCAAGTACCTTATCTTATCTTGTCTTATCTTGACTGTCAGTTTTTTATTCCGCTATTTGATAGGTAATAATAATAATAATAATAATAATAATAATAATAATAATAATAGAAATAATAATAATGGAGACGTCTGTTCAGATCGACCCTCATTTTGATTTTTTTCATCTATTATAAGGAGGCCTTGACTCTCTCCACACAAAAACAAGAGGTCAGAATACGTCGTGGGAAACTAAAGCGGCACTGCCAGGCCCGGGTGAGAGTCAAACCCAATGAACTGTATACGAGCCACTGGAGCGACTGGAGCTCGACGACATCCTGGCAAGAAGCAGAAGATGTGGAGGAACCGTCACAGAATCAAGGTGACAGAATTTTAGTCTATTCTCGAACATTTTACAGGCCCTCTGGTGATGATAATTCCAGTGTGCTCCTCCAGAAAGAAATGAAGTTGAAATTTAAAAAAACTGTGAAATTGTTGCTTTAACTTTTAAACTATGATCTCATGTCATGTTGGTTCTCTGTTTTAGAGGAATTTCGGACGTTGATAGTAACGTGGGGAGTTGTTGGCAGCTTGGTTCTCATCCTGGTTGTTATGCTGGTCCTTTGCAGGTCTTGCTTGAGTAGAGGGTGAGTACAAAGCTCGTGTGTTTGATTTCAAGAAGCTTAACGCTCTGAAGTTTTGAAACAGAGTGAATGTTTCTTTATGAGTCCATGAGACTGACCTCGTCCATGTTGTAGTTTTTAACTCCTGTAACCACCGCAAGGGGGTCGAGGTGTCAGGCCTCTCTTGGTTCACAGGGGGCGCCGGTGAGTTTTCAGTCCTCACTTTAGTAGGTTTGGTGGAGAACTTCCTTGGTGACAGTCTTGGGTACTGACCGACGCCCACAAGGGCAACATGTCTTTGTGGGCTTCACTTTAGGAGAGCAGTTGTGACGTCCATCATAACTGATTTAGTGCAGTCGTCTCCTGTTTGCAGAATAACACAGTATGTGTTTGTGTGTCTGTATGCAGTACTCCGATGTTAACAGGACTCTCTCGCTCTCTCTCTCTCTCTGTCTCTCTCCCTCTCTCTCTCTCTCTCTCTCTCTCTCTCTGTTTCTCTCTCTCTCTCTCTCTCTCTCTCTCTCTCTCTCTCTCTCTCTCTCTCTCTCTCTCTCTCTCTCTCTCTCTCTCTCTCTCTCTCTCTCTCTCTCTCTCTCTCTCTCTCTCTCTCTCTCTCTCTCTCTCTCTCTCTCTCTCTCTCTCTCTCTCTCTCTCTCTCTCTCTCTCTCTCTCTCTCTCTCTCTCTCTCTCTCTCTCTCTCTCTCTCTCTCTCTCTCTCTCTCTCTCTCTCTCTCTCTCTCTCTCTCTCTCTCTCTCTCTCTCTCTCTGTTTCTCTCTCTCTCTCTCTCTCTCTCTCTCTCTCTCTCTCTCTCTCTCTCTCTCTCTCTCTCTCTCTCTCTCCCTCTCTCTCTCTCTCTCTCTCTCTCTGTTTCAGGCTTTATAAGAAGAAGCCGGTTCCCAACCCCTCCAGATACTTTCACTCTCTCTACTCCGTCCATGAAGGAAATCTGAAGGTAAAAAGTCTTTAAAATTCAGTTATTACAGTCTTGACCACGACCACTACAAAGAACGCTTAAACACACAGTAAGTGCAGGAAGTTACCACAATATAATATACAATAAACAATAAACATGCCAGGTACACAATATTACATTTTCATGATGTTCACGGGAACTTCTGACCCTCTAAAGGAGAAGAAAAAATCATGTTTTCACTTCTTTTATACTAAAGTCTCTTTACCACTAAATGTGAAGTCTGATACGATTTCATAATAATCATAATTCATCAGTGACCTTAAAGCACTTGATACATTATTCCAACGGTGGTAAACTACCTTAGTAGTCCCAGCTGCCTCGGGGCAGACTGGAGGAAACATGGCGGCCGATTTGCGCGTACGGCTTCTCTGACCACACAACGCTCACAATCATACAATGATGAGACCGTTTTTCTTATATGTCTCCATAATTTACTTCAATTTAAAAAAGGCTAAAATTCAAAAATAAACTTGGAAACTTTCTCTTTTTAGAGACTTTGTCTAAAATTTCCAGATTTGATCCATTTTCAGAGAAAATTCAGGGAATAATGGGAGAAATGTCAGTATGGTGTAAGCGTAAAAACTCTGTCACTGCTTTGTGTCAGTTGGTGTGATCAGTATTTTTAAAACTATAATATTTGAGAGAATGAATGTGGAATGGAAAGTACTCCTCTACTGTACAGCACTAATATATATCTGAACGGGTTTTTTACCTGATTTGTCGAATGTGATTTAGAAAAGTTTTCAGCGTTTCTGTTTTTGCTAAAATGCTCCAATTTTTTTGTAAAAGAAAAATGCTAACAAACGTATTTTTGACTGATATGATTAATTATTAATTATTAATTATTATGATGAAGTAACTTTTATAAGTACACTTGCACACACTATAGGTGGAAATGTTTTACTGACGTTAATCTTCTCCGTAGAAATGGATGAATCCGCTCACGGCCTCCGAGTCCTTCTTCATGGCCCATCCCGCTGACCAGATCTCCCCAGTTGAGCTGTGTGGAAGCCCAGATGTAGACCCCTCCACCTCTCCGTCAGTAGCCACCTCTACTTCTGCTCTGCTAAGCTTTAAAGGCCACCCCTCAGCTGGCACCAACACCTCCGGGGTTCTTGACAAGTCCTCCTCCACATCTTCTTCCAGCTTCTCCAACATGGGCTACTTTATGTCCAGCTCCTCTCGTGGCTCAGCTCCATCAAACCCCGGCCGCGCTTACTTCACCTATCAGGGTGATATCCGCACTCCTAACAACAGCCGCGTCCTCTGTCTGTCCCTCTGCCCCACCTTCAACACCTCTCCAGCCTACGAGTCGTTGAAGGGGGAACCACAGAGCCCGGACTCCGGCTTCGGCGTTGGAAAAGAAGATGAAGAAAAAGTTGTGGGTGTAAAAGAGGAGAAGGACTCGGATCACAGCCCTGCTCTTATCATCCTCCCTCTCCACCTCCCCTCCCAGCTGTTTCCTCCATCCTCCTCTCCTCCACCCTCTCCTAACGCTCCAATCCTGACTCCAGTTTCCACTGATAGTTTTCAGGTGGATGAGCCTGTGGAAGCTGGTGCTGGAAGCTACGCAGCCTGGCCTTTGGCTGGAGCCGTGTGCAGGTCATCTTCCATGCCGGTGGAGTCCGGTAAAACAGGGTACCTGACCCTCAAAGAACTGCAAACGTCATTCAGCAATAAATCCATCTAAGAACGATCGAGTATCTGAATAAACGCCTGCCGACTGTTCAAAGATAAAACATGAACTCATCGAAATACACGCAGAGAGTTAATTTAGCTCCGTCGAATTACGCTGATAAATAAATATATATATATATATATAAATGTATATTTATAAATATATATATATATTTATAAATAAATAAATATATATAAATGTATATTTATAAATAAATAAATATATATATTTATATATAAATGTATATTTATAAATAAATAAATATATATAAATGTATATTTATAAATAAATAAATATATATATTTATATATAAATGTATATTTATAAATAAATAAATATATATAAATGTATATTTATAAATAAATAAATATATATATTTATATATAAATGTATATTTATAAATAAATAAATATATATAAATGTATATTTATAAATAAATAAATATATATATTTATATATAAATGTATATTTATAAATACATAAATATATATAAATGTATATTTATAAATAAATATATATATACATATATATATATATATATATATATATATATATATATAAATAAATATATATATATATATAATGTATATTTATAAATAAATAAATAAATATAAATGTATATTTATAAATAAATAAATATATATATATATAAATGTATATTTATATATATATTTATTTATTTATAAATGTATATTTATAAATAAATAAATATATATATATATATTTATATATATATATATATATATAAATATATATATATAAATGTATATTTATAAATAAATAAATATATATATATAAATGTATATTTATAAATAAATGCTGACACACAAATCTTTTATGACTAAAAATGATATGGTTGGAAAAACTGAAAACAAAATCTGTATCAAAGTTTTTGTTCATAAATGTTCGATCAGGTGATGATATGATGATGATGTTAAAGAGTTTGTTCAGTTACAGTATTTTAAATAAAACATGAACTAAATTAAAGTTCCTCTGATTTTTGAAAATGTCTGAGATAAAAACTGAATCAGGATTTCTCGTCTGTTTGAGATTAAACTTTTATGTCCTCTCTAAATTAAGCCACACCCCTTAGCCTACTGCGGCCAATTGAAACTGTCGAGGTGTTCCAGCGTCGTATTTCACCCAGAGCGTTAAGGAAGTGTAAACATGCTCTCCTCACAGCAGGACATCTTTTTTAACGTTAGATTAATTTGAAGAAAACTGTGGTGGACTGTTGAGGAACTGCAGACTGTGATGAACAGAACCTTTAGTACCGGGTTCTGGGTCCGTCTGTGCGTCACATCCATCGATGCTGCGATTGGCTGGGATCAAACACCAAACTGGGAGCTGGTAGGACGGTAAAAAAACAGATTACTGAGAATCTGTGAAAACTGCAGCAGTTTTGAGGATCAATAAAAACTATTAGAAATAATTGATCTTGTCAGCGACGGTTTTGTATGTTTACAAAGTGGGTCAGCAGTGATTTCAGTCTGTTTCATAACGAGCTGAAAACTCCTTACAGGAGCTTTAAATAGACATCAGTTAATGCTTTGAAATGTAGCAGCGGATCACCTGTAAAAACAACAATAATAATAACAATAATAATAATAATAATAATAATAATAATAATAATAATAATAATAATAACAATAATAATAAAAACTGCAGCAGATTATCAGGATACAGCGGTCAGTCTGAAGCCTGTTTCAGCTCCTGCTGTTTCTCTAATCAGACAGTTTTTGTTTTTATTTAAATATATTTTCATTTTTTAACTTTGATCGATCGATTATTAGAATCAGGTCTGACATTACACACAGAGTGTTGTATCTACATTGATTTGTAATCATTACAAAGGCTGATAAACGTCTCTTTTTCATGCTTGTGCAGTTTTCTTCTGTTGCAAACATGTGCGCACAGACGCTGAACACGAGTCTTCATGTGGAAATGGGTCACCCTCTGACTTCCTGTGTCACTGTGGAACGAGAGCTGAGGGGTGGGCATGTCAGCGGACGTGAGCGAGCGAGTGAGAGAGGTGTGTGTGTGTGTGTGTGTGTGTGTGTAAACACGTGTGTGTAGCTCTGAGTTTATACATGTCAGGTGGTCCTGGTGGTGTGTGTGTGTGTGTGTGTGTGTGTGTGTGTGTGTGTGTGAGCGTGTGTATTAGCATGTGGTTTGACATTTAAGTGTGACACAACCAGCAGCATCCGTTCACCTCACAGAGGATTGACAATATTAAGACCTAACTGAGCAGAAACCACACACGATGTTGCTCCTCAATGTTTTCTTTCCATTTCACAAGAACTTCTCGTCCGATGACGTCACGCCGTGTAAAGACACTTCGCTGATTTCAGCTAAAAAGAATAAAACCTTTGTGACACAGGAAGTTCTCATCTGTACCTGCTTGATCTACGTTTTGAGATGAACAGGCAGATTATATCCTGCTGCTAAACTGGGAAATATTTCTGAATATCGTGTGGAAATCCTTCAAACCTCTTTAAAAGAATATTTTTAAAGCTTGGTTATAGTTTCAGTTACAGACATGATATTAATAATGTGGATCTTAAAGTCGACACAGTCCTGTTCAACCTTCAGGTTTTAGTGATGTAAGAAAATTAAATCAAGATGAATAATTTCACAACTTCTTCCTCCTTCAATGTGACCTTTGACCTTTGACCTTTGACCTGAACAACAATAGAAAAACAAACAGAAATCTTTCAGGGAGGTGAAGTAAAAATAAACAGCTGAGGTCATGTGGTTACAGAAGTGTGTTCACCCTTTAATAACTGTGGGGGTGTGGCTGCGTTCAGATTTAACCAATCACATTCAAACACACCTGTCAGCAGTTAAAGAGTCTCTGATCAACTGTTACAGTTCAGCTGTTCTCGGAGCTTTTCCTCACGTTTCTGTAGAAACATCTTCAGCTCAAGCCGTGGTCCACAGAGAGCTTCCAAAGAACCAGAGGATCTCAGTATTCACAGATCTCAGTCAGGTGAGGCTACAGAAGAACTTCAGAGGAATCAAATAAACCATGGACCACAGTGAAGACCGTCATCATCAGGTGGAGAAAATATGGAACAACAAGAACAGGACGTCCAAAAAAAGACGAGAAGAAAACTGGTCAGGGAGGCGACCGAGAGGCCGACAGCGACACTGAAGGAGCTGCTGGAGTTTCTGGAGAGGGTTAGGCCCCGCCCACTGAGTTTGACAGAAGGAATTAAACTGTGAAATAATTATATATGTTTTTACATTACATGGTATTTTAACAAATTAGTGACACATTTATTTATTTAAATTAATGTATTAATGACATATTAAAGTATTTATTTAAAGATGTTTTTATATATTTCATTCTGTCTCTTTTTGTCCTCCGTAGTCTTCAGGCGTCAGTCTTTTGAACCTCTGACTTCGATGTCTCATAAATGACCCTCATGTCCTAAAAGATCCTCCGTTTCAAAGGTTAATGTGTTTGTTTTGATAAAGTTTATGAGTTTTCTGTATTTTTACTTCAGTTTTGTTTTTTTCATCATGATCTTTAAAGTGTTGACCCATGCTGCACTGTGTCAGTTCCACCACTAGAGGGCAGAAGAAACTCCACTAACTCTAACTTCAGCTCCACCTGCATTTTAGTGATTTTACAGCCATCATCGTAACACCGACACCCCCCCCACACACACACACACACACACAGACACACACACAGACACACAAAGTTGACCTCTGACCTCTCCTGTCATCAAAAAAACATCATTAGTGATTGAAGCTCGTTGTTTATTTATTCCAGTTCGACATGAACACGTCTAAAACCCACAGCCGGTCTCTCATATTCAGGTCAACACGGTAAAATGGCGCCATAAAAAAGGGGAGGAGTCTAATAAGGCCTCTTTTGCTTTAACCAATGATTGACGATCAGAGACAAAAGTTTGATTCAATGAAAAAACATAAACGTGTTTTTGTTCAAAGTCATGAAGGCAGAGAGGAGACAGGAGTCTGTGAAAACGAACATCTTTAATGAGCCGCAGAAGAAGGTGGAACAGCGAGTTCAGAGATCCTGTCTGTGAAACGACAGAAATCCACCGGTGACGTGAAACTTCTCAAGAACTGAGAGAGAAATCTGCAGTTTTCTCTCCACACATGAAGAAGAAGTCGATCAAACACGCCTCGGTGTGGTTTTAGACCGCTCTCTCTCTCTGTGCTCAAAATTTAGACCTCCTAAAAAAATACGTCTTTACTGTGTAAAAGTTTTCAACCAAAGGCACGACGCACCTTCACCCTCATGTGACGATGTGATCAGAAAACTGCTCAGGTTAATATTTTCAGTCAAACCTGAAGAAACGCCTGAACTTTAAATCCTCCTCCTCCAGACTAAACCCTCCTCCTCCTCGCCGCTACAGAAAACTGTGTACAAGGAAACTGCTGCAGAAATATTCAACACAAAAACACTTCAGTCACGTTTCCTTTTAGAAAGATGTACGTTAGAAAACTCATCAAGCTGAAATTAAAACACAATCGAGTCACTTTTGTGCTTAAAAAACAACCCGGCGGTGCAGACAGACGGCTGCTGCGCTTCCTGAAGACGAGGACACACGTCAGCAAGTGTTCAGATGAAGCAGGAACTTTTTAAACGTTCTCGTTAAATCTGGGTTCGAAAGTTTGGAGTTTATATCGAAGGTTTTATTTTCAAATCCATGAAGTTTACAGCCACAGAGAAGAACCAGTGAGCTTTTCTTCATATTCTGAAAATAAACGATTTTTGGAATTCTGATTTTATCTCAAAGGTTCTAAAAAAGTCTGAACTTTAACTTTTAAAGACGTTTTGTGACCAAAGAATGATCCGTTTAAGTTAAATAAGAAAGAAGCCATATTGACGTTACTTAACGAGAATTTTAAAAGGTTTTTACGATGATAACTTTTTTAAATTCTGAGGAAAAAAAACATTTTTTTACAAAATAAAATTCTGGAAAACAAAAAATCTGAATTACGACTGAAAACATAAAATTTTGACTTTAATCAACAAAATACTGAGAATTTTTGAAAACGTGTTCTTTATACCAAACTTCAGAGAGAAAGAATCAGAACTTTAAATTCCACCTTAAAATGTTTTAAAGTCTGACTGTAATTTTTAAAAATAAACTTTAGTGAAGCTTCACGTTAATCCGACAGTTTTCACAGTTTTAAAGGAAATAAAAACTCTAATTTAATCTTCCTGAATCAAAATGAACTCCGATCTTTTCCAATCAAATCAGAAATACTGATAATTTTGACCCTCATACTGATAACATGACTCAGCAGTTTCTTCTGTTTGGAACCATCAGCTCCACAACCTTCACTGACAGCTTCTTTGGGTTTAACAGAAAAGATCAGGTGTGGAGACAAACGGACACTCAGATCAGACCTTATTGATCATCTGGAGAGAAGAAGAAAATCTGACGTTTAACGAAGTTCCTCAACTCTGTTTGGACTTTATAAAAACACTAAAAACACTGAGAGTGTGTCGAACACTTCTACTGTTTCCTCATGACTGCTGCTTCTTCTTCTTCTTCTTCTTCTTCTTCTTCTTCTTCTTCTCCTTCTCCTTCTTCTTCTTCTTCTCCTTCTTCTTCTCCTTCTTCTCCTCCTCTCTGTGACTGAACTTTACAAACACCTGCTGCTCCTCAGAGCGTCCTTCTGAATGAGACACAAAGACAACAGGAGGACAGATGGAGGTGTTTCTGCTGTAACTTTAAAAATCTCGGTGCGTGTCTGTGTGCGTGTCTGTGTGCGTGTCTGTGTGCGGTGTTGTGATCGTCTCTGTAGAAGAGTCACTCGTTGAGGATCCAGTCCGGTTTGTTGTAGCCGAAGAGCCTGAAGTCCGGCTCGTACAGCTTGTACAGTTCTCTCCGCGCCTCGACAGGAACTGTGCTGAACCAGTCGGCCTCCCAGCTGCTGGCTGTGAGGTTCCTGTGGGAGGTGGGGAACTCCACCACATTATCCACCCGAAGCTGACGTAGCAGGTGCTCGGCATCCTCCTCTGCCGTCTCCAGATGGCCCACAAAGTCGTACTGAATCTGGCACGGGTGGCACAGTCGATACACCTGCCGCCAGTGCTCGTTGAAGGGCGTGTCCTTCTCTGTCTGCGGGTCCAGGAGGTACTGGATGAAGTGGGAAAAAGACGGATGGATGCCCAAACCGAACGCCTCGTCCACAGACGCAGGAGGTGTCGGCTGGTTGGCGTAGCGGCGCAGCAGTACCTGTCCGAAGCGGCGATAGAAGTCATCATTACGTATCTCAAACTTATTCCTGTAGGCGGAGATGAGGCGAACGAAGGGGTCCCGAACGAAGAGGAACTTGGTGTACTTCTTTAGCTTCACCTGCAAACGAGACGACAGCTGAGTTAGAAAACCAAAGAGCTCACTCCAAAGTTCAGTGACCATGATCTCACATAAATCCACACACAGTGGGTTCCTCTGACCTTCATAAGGTGCTTCGCAAACTTGCCGTAACGTTTCCAGAACTTGTTGAAGGTGAAGTGCATGCTGCTGTTGTGGACCAGGTCCCGGGGGATGGCCAGGGGGTCTCTCTGGGGGACGCCATCCCGCAGCATGCTCTCACTGAGGACGATCATGATGCGCTTCCAGTTACTGCATGCTACCTGAAGGGGGCGGCAGAGTGTTTATCCATGTAGTAACAAACCAAGACCTCCTTCATATGAAGCAGACCAACGCAGACTCACTCCAGCCTCGTTGAAACGCGTTTCTAGAGTTTGATCAGTCGGACTTCCTGTCGGCGTGAAGAGCAGGAGCCTACAGGATATCTACATTATATATATCTATACTGTAGATATCTACAGTATAGATATATTTTTTTTATAACTTCATAAAAATTTAAAAAATCAGCCGATTAATCGGTAATCTGATCCCCCCCCCCGTCCCTAGAAAACACAGCGGCTAAAATCCTCCGTCTGCCTCACTTAACCTCACAGAACTAAAAACAACTCCATCACCGGCACAGACCGTACCCACCCACTCAGTAATCCCACCACCCTCAGGGTGCCATCGAGTTCAGGAGGGCTTGGCGGGGGGACTCAGGCTTTAGGCGGACGGTGAACGCCATGGAGACCCGCCATCCCAGTCCAAGGTACTACGGTGACGTACGTGGTGACTCGAGAGACGACCTCAAATGTTAATTATTCAACTAAAGGCCGTTAAAGAAACTGTGGAGAACACGCCGCTTCCTCTTTAACTCTGACTGTACATCAAAATACTCCTGCACTTCACTTTCAGCTCAAAGACGTGAAAGTTAAAGTTCGAACTGTTTCACAAACAGGAAACCGATTTTCTTTGACCACATCTCTGATTGATTTGGTCGAGCGTCTGTCGACTCAGAGTCAAATATAATTAATGATTTCAGTTTGAAGTTGAATTAAATCAATACAAAGAAACAGACAAGTCACCAAAATCACCTTTTAAATCAGAAATAATGGAAGTGCGTCAAATCGAACCGTTGGCCGTACATCGTCGTCACATGATCAGACCGTGAGCTGAATATCATGTTTCATGGTTGGGGGTTATTTCAGACAGAGGCTGAATTAATGACAGTTTAATACAAATATAAAGACAATAAAGAAAATAATGAAGAGGAACCGGAGAGGAAGTCAAGAGTCTCAACAAATGCAGAATATTTCCCTTTTATTATTTCTTAAACTAATTTAAGAAACATGAGATATAATTCAACATGTTCATCAGATCAAACAAAAATGGGTTTTGATTAAAAATGAGTTTCTGTACCTTAGGAACGTAGCAGTAGATAATACCGTGCCTGTCGTCCACGATGAGATGGTCCAGCTCCTTGTTCGGGATGTCGTCAAACGAACGATTTTTGCCGGGAAAGACGACACTGTCATTGATGCACATCTCCTGAAGCAGCTTCCGACGCTGCTCCTGAGAAAAGACCAAAAGTTTCATTAGACTTACAGAGAACAGATGTAGAGAAAGAAAGAAAGAAAGAAAGAAAGAAAGAAAGAAAGAAAGAAAGAGAGAAAAGAAAGAAAGAAAGAAAGAAAGAAAGAAAGAAAGAAAGAAAGAAAGAAAGAAAGAAAGAAGAAAGAAGAAAGAAAGAAACGTCTGCTTTTAGAAAAACCTCCAATCATTCTAAAATAATCCACAGGACCTGATTTTAAAGTCTCTCCACCAAAGGGACGCGAACGAGAACCGGTTCCAAATGGTTTCATCCATCGATGTCGTTTACATTTCATCACATTTTTCCAAAGTTCAAACAACGAGTTTTCTTCATCACTGTGGGGGTCACTGTGGGGGTCACTGTGGGGGTCGCTGTGGGGGTCACTGTGGGGGTCTCTGTGGGGGTCACTGTGGGGGTCACTGTGGGGGTCACTGTGGGGGTCTCTGGCTAAAGCTGGGTTTGTCAGCATCAGAGTATTGTGACACCGGGGCCATAAAAACATCCGAACCTTCTTTAGTGGATCCTGGATTTATGCTGAGTGAGAGAACTTTGATTTTAAAGCTCCAGTACGCACTTTTACGTTTGTTTTGGTGCCCGCTGTAGACAAAGACATCAAAGTTTATCGTTATTAGCCTGTCTCGCTCAGTGCTGAGGAGAGACGCCGTACGCAGCAGTCCTTCAGACACAGGCGCGCCGCTCAATATACAACTTTAAACATGGCGCAGCGACCAGCGCGCCGTCCGAGAGGATATTCAGCGTCAGCGAAACATCGTTTCACAAACTAAGAAAGTAAATCTGCAGAAATTTGAACACTTTAATCTGAGGTAGTGAACAAAGTCGATCATCTGATTTATTTACATATTTGATGTTATTTTAAAGAACTTGAGTTTCCAGGTGTTTGTTTTGTTTCATAAAGTCGTTGTTCTGGTTTTTAAGAGTCGATCTTTTTGAAGATTCTTTTCACAATAATGAACTTTATTTTATTTTAACTTTATTTGTTATAATGTTCGTGTTTATTCCACTGACTCTGTTATTTCTTTGACCTCTGACTCTTTTAAAGCTCCATCTTTAATTCTTTAAGTTTCTTCTTCTTCTGTTATTTCAGGTTTAAGGAAAAGTTTATTCTGCAGGTTATTTTTGATTTTTTCTAAATTAAACTTTGATGATTTTAGGGCGTGTTTAAGTACTTTTTAAACTTTTTAAACAAATCTGTGATAATATTGATAATTTTGGTCACAATGATCCTGATGAGAAATTTTCATTTCATCTCTAGTCCAATAAAAACAGCTCACACGGACAAATACGACTTTCACAGACTGTCAGGAGAGTTTCTGTTTCCTTTTCTCTCCACCCTGACGTCCCTGTCCCTCTGTCCTTCTGTCCTTCTGTCCTTCCGTCCCTCTGTCCCTCTGTCCTTCTGTCCCTCTATCATCTGTCCTTCTGTCCTTCTGTCCCTCTGTCCTTCTGTCCCTCTGTCCTGCTGTCTTTAATCGTGTCGTTTTCATGTTTTTTACTCGTTTGTTTCTATCTTTGGCTCGAGTTTAGAGGTTTTAAAATAAAGAAAAGTACCTGTCTCTCTGTCCCTCTGTCCTTCTGTCCCTCTGTCCCTCTGTCCCTCTGTCCCTCTGTCCTTCTGTCCCTCTGTCTTTGGCTCGAGTTTCGAGGTTTTAAAATAAAGAAAAGTACCTGTCTCTCCCGGAGTTCTGCTGCCACTGGACTCAGATGGATCTTCCACTCGCGCCTCGGTACGTACCGCTCCTCTGCTTTGTCTGATTGGTTACTCGTGTCCGGGGGAACGGGGTCGGTGGGCTCACCGGTCCCTGGCTCTAAAAACTGGTTCACAAAGGCATCAATGTCTGACAGAAAAGACGGGGTCCTGGAGGTTTGAGGCTGGGGGGGGACGGGGACGTGAGGGACTTTAGGTCCTGGTGAGACAGGCGTGTGCAGATAGAGGTGTGAGACGCCGACATCGTCCCAGTAGATGATGATGAGGAGGATCATGAAGGCGGAGCCCAGGACCACGAAGACACGGAACATCCTGGACGTTCCCATGGTGACTGTTGCTTCCTCTTGCTACAAGGTCACCATGGCAACAGAGTCAAGGTCCACGAGCTCTACCTCTCACCATGGCGACAGAAAGATGGCAGCTACAGCAGAGTGTGTGTTAGGACTTTTCATGACGCTGGTGCAGAGCAGGTGCTGAACCGTCCATCTGTGGGGTCAGTCTCACCTCTGCTCCACGCCTGCCGGTCTGCAGATGACGACAAAGACGAGGAAACGACCAACACGCTTCACATCACACATTTTCATTTTTTACAAACAGATCAGGATTTAAAAACATTTAAGACAGGAGGACACAGAGACACACTGGAGAGTAAAAACTCCGACCCACCGATTTATCGACCAGACGATTAAATCGGCCAATTTTAGCCCGTTTGAGACTCATCGGTAAATCGGCCAAAACTCGCCGATTGTCGCCGATATTTTCAGGAATAAAATGCAGAGAATAAGATTCGGTTTCACTTCAAAAATGTTCGACTATCCTGGACTTAACCGTCAACAAAACAGATCTGTTTGATTATTTAAGGAAGTTCTTCCTGAGTGATTATGAGGAAATCATGAAAATGTGGGCGGAGTCTGTACAGTCTGTCACTGCTGACGGTACGAGTAGCATTAGCAGTTTAGCCTCAACTAGCGGTGCAGTCACCAGACCAAAGTAATCAATCCTATCATCTACGTTTACCTTTGAGGGCGTCTTCATGATCTCTGAGGGGAGATTTTGTGTCTTGGATCCCAGCAGAAACCCTCCGGACTGTAAACTAGTTCACTGTTTTATTCAGTATTTATCTACGTTTGTTCTTCTGTTGAGTTTAAGTTTATCTTATTCTTTGTTATTTATTTTGTATGTTAATAAAATCTTGAACTAATCTCTAGTTTCTTTAGTTTTTATTACAGATGCTTTAAAACAGGCAGTTGAAAAAAATCGTGATAATAATCGAGATCGGACGATACGACAAAATATATCGTGATCATTCTTTTCGCCAAATCGCCCAGACCTACGCTCACTCCTCCTGTCAGCTCAAACATTTGACCACCAGCAGGGGGAGGGGCTGACTGAAGGGATTTCATTGGATTAGACCAACACTCCTCAAGAAAATCAGCCAATGGGCTGTCACGGTTGATTGAGATGATTTACAATATATTTATTGATCAGATTAAGACAGCTTCATCACGGTTCACCCAGCAGCCTGTTCATGTCGGCTCACAGAGTTTATTCAGAGACACCACAGAGCAGCTACAACAACAACATCAGTGAAGAAGCTCCGGGTTTGGAAGCTGGACTCAAGACGGACGTAAAATCAGACGAAAAGAAACTTCATGAAAAAACTTCAACATTCACCATAAAAATGTGACTAAAAGATTTTCATTGACAAGAATACACACAATGAATAAATACAGACAACTGACCGACTTCTTCTCAAAGTGTAAAAGTACCTAAAGACAAAAAAATCATGTATTCTTGTCGTCCACATGTTCAGTCTGTCTGATGCTACAGGATGAAAACAGGGATGTGGAGCGACACTGAGAGTTGTTGAATCACGTTTTCTGATCCAGTGAAGAAACACGTGAAGAAAAGATGTTTTTATTAGAAAGTTTATTCTCACTCAGTTACAAGAAAAAGCTGAAAACTCCAGAAAAGGAGCCGAGTCTCTGACTCTGTCGAGGCCCCTCTCAGTCGACCCGACTCCCACTGCGAGCAATAAAATCACAGGTGGTTGTCAAATATCTGCACGCCACTGCGCTCAGAACGGCATACAGCTCTCACTTTGACTCTGCACAAGTATCCTGCTGTCTCCTCCTCTCGTTGGCTTCTTATGGATTATGGTACAGCATCTGCACACTGAGCTCCTCTGAACTTATCAAAGCCTCTATGTTAGCCCGCTTTGAGCGAGCGCCAGTCGAAATATTTTACACACCTCTGCATGTGCAGACACACACTGACGGTCAGTGTGCTCACAGCAGACGCCTTTCTGCAGAGCTGGAAAAACACGGCCAGAAGAAGAAGACAAATATAATGTCAGCGCTGTGTGGAAACGACAGTTCAGCTTTAATTCCACTTCATCTCTCTGAGCTGATTTACAGTCAAACTCTGAAATCTTCCACGTTTCTCCCACAGCAGCAGTCGTCATATTATCTCCTCGTTCTGAAGTTCAGAGAAGACCACAGACGTGGAAAATCCTCGGTCACGCCCAGTTAACGCTGAAGCACCGTGTAAGCTAACGTTAGAGTTAGCCACCTGCTGTTAGCCTCACTACACTGTTAGCCGTGTCAGTAACAGTAGAATAAACAACAGTACATGTTAGTGATGGAGCTTCTTCTCTGACTGAAGCAGCTGCATGTCTCAGGAAACAAGAACCTGCAGCAACAGACGGAACCAAAGACTCAAAATTTAAAGTTAATACTCATTCAGATTCATTTTATTGCAACGCCTTAATTTTACTAAGACACACAGTCAGAACCATAAAACGGTACAAATAATCCGTATAATAATTTCTTTCTGTATTTCCATCTCAGTTTCCTCAGTTTGGGTTTTTATTATTACGATTTCGTTTCAGTGCTTCACTTACAGAGATGAGAGGAGGACTGGGCGATTATATCATCGTAGTGAATGATCGTGATAAATTTTAGTTTAATCACGGTGATCAGCTGAGAGCTTATTTACTCGATCAAACATAGAGGAAGTGTGCGTCACAACAGCCAATCAGAGTCAAGCTTTTCCTGCTCACTTATGTAAACAGGAAGTAAACAGGAAGTAAACGGTCGACACACTTCTGTTCAACCCTCAGGTTTTAGTGATGCAAGAAAATTAAATCAAGATAAATAATTTCACAACTTCTTCCTCCTTTAATGTGACCTTTGACCTTTGACCTTTGACCTGAACAACAATTGAAAAACAGATTTAACCAATCACATTCAAACACACCTGTCACCAGTTAAAGAGTCTCTGATCAACGTTACAGTTCAGCTGTTCTCGGAGCGTTTCCTCACGTTTCTGTAGAAACATCTTCAGCTCAAGCCGTGGTCCACAGAGAGCTTCCAAAGAACCAGAGGATCTCAGTATTCACAGATCTCAGTCAGGTGAGGCTACAGAAGAACTTCAGAGGAATCAAATAAACCATGGACCACAGTGAAGACCGTCATCATCAGGTGGAGAAAATATGGAACAACGGTGACCAAGAACAGGACGTCCAAAAAAAGACGAGAAGAAAACTGGTCAGGGAGGCGACCGAGAGGCCGACAGCGACACTGAAGGAGCTGCAGGAGTTTCTGGAGAGTCCTGGCTGTGAAGAACATGAGACAATGATCTCCTGCTGTCTTCATATGTCTGGGCTATGGGGTAGGGTGGCAAAGACAGAAACCTTATCTTACAAAGAACAACATCAGAGTCCGGATTAATTTAGCAAACAGACGTCTGAAACCTCCCAAACACACGTGGGAACATGTGTCATGGTCTGATGGAACCAAAGGTCAACTTCTTGGACATCATTTCCAAAGTTATATTTGGCTCAAAACTAACATCACCAGAAGAAGACCACACCTACAGTGAAGCATGGTGGTGGCAGCATCATGCTCTGGGCTGTTTTTCTTAGTCAGGGTGGAGGGAATCATGAACAGTTCCAGATACCAGTCAGTGTTGGAACAAAACCTTCGACCTTCTGCTAGAAAGATGAAGATGAAGAGGAGCTTCATCTTCATCTTTCAGCACGACAATGACCCAAAACACACGTCTAAACCAACAGAAGAATAAGACTGAGACTTTGGAACGGCCCCCCCAGAGTCCAGACCTGAACCCCATCGAACATTAGTGGGGGGGTGATCTGAAGAGGGCTGAGCTCAGGAGACGTCCTCACAGTAATCTGACAGATTTACACAGAAGAGTGGGCAAATATTTCCACATCAAAAGTTCCACGCTGACAGACTCCGACCCAAAAAGACTGAGTGCTGAAATAAAAGTTAAAGCTGCTGAGACAAAGTTTTGGTTTAAGGATGTGAAGATTTATGAAACCAGGTTATTTTAACTTTTCTAGTTTTTATTTTCCCCTTAAAGGTTTCAGTTTGTTTTTAATCGTGTTGTTCAGGTTACAGGTCACATTAAAGCTGTAAAATATTTTATCTTCCTGTTATTTTCTTACAGACTGAAACCTGACAGTTGAACAGTCTGTAGACTCTTAGGTCCACTGTAGACTCTCTGCTGCCGGTATCATCCCTCCATGAAGAGGAGCTGCAGCAGCGAACACCAACCCGGGGACAATGCAGCCTTTGACGGGGAGCAGAGCCGCAGGAACGGGCTGTTCCTCTCCCCATGGGGGGCTCTCGGTTAGAAACATGTATTTATTAATGTGCTGTATTGAGGTGGGGGTCAAAGACTCGGGGTCGATAAAACACAGAGGCTGGAAAACAACGCGCTTCCGCACAGACTGAGGAGGATTTATGAGAGAATCCGGAAAAGAGTCAATGTGTCGGAGAAACAAGAGGACGGGGCTGCTGACTACAGAGCCTCACTGCGGAAATATCATTTATAATAATCATAATAATAATATTAATAATGATTCAGAAGATAAGTTAGAAAAACAACAACATCCTTACCTTTGTCAGTGTCTGCTCTCCCCCCTCCGCGCCGCGTCAGCTGAGAGAGAGAGAGAGAGAGAGAGAGAGAGAGAGAGAGAGAGAGAGAGAGAGAGACCCCCTTTTTACTGAGAGATGGAGCGTGAGTCTCGGAAATCACCGCGAGACTTCACTGCAGCTGTTCCTGCAACGTGAGCTCATTTCTGGGTCACTTCCAGCACAATATGTCAGGGAGGGGGGGGTCTGTGGACAGCTTCCTGCCACGGTCTCCCCCCCCCCACCCACAGTCTCCCCCCTCAAAGTGCTGGAAATAATCTACAGAAATAAAATAACACTGAAATAACCTACAGAGATAACCTGCTGTTGACCTACAGTAATATAATAACCTACAGTAATATAATGACCTACAGTAATATAATAACCTACAATAATATAATGACCTACAGTAATATAATAACCTACAGTAATATAATGACCTACAGTGATATAATGACCTACAGTAATATAATGACCTACAGTAATATAATAACCTACAGTAATATAATGACCTACAGTAATATAATAACCTACAGTAATATAATAACCTACAGTAGTATAATGACCTACAGTAATATAATGACCTACAGTAGTATAATAACCTACAGTAATATAATGACCTACAGTAATATAATGACCTGCAGTAATATAATAACCTACAATAATATAATGACCTGCAGTAATATAATGACCTGCAGTAATATAATAACCTACAGTGATATAATAACCTACAGTAATATAATGACCTACAGTAATATAATAACCTACAGTAATATAATGACCTACAGTAATATAATAACCTACAGTGATATAATGACCTACAGTAGTATAATAACCTACAGTAATATAATGATCTACAGTAATATAATAACCTACAGTAATATAATGACCTACAGTAATATAATGACCTACAGTAATATAATAACCTACAGTTATATAATAACCTACAGTAATATAATAACCTACAGTGATATAATGACCTACAGTAGTATAATAACCTACAGTAATATAATGACCTACAGTGATATAATGACCTACAGTAATATAATGACCTACAGTAATATAATAACCTACAGTAATATAATGACCTACAGTAATATAATAACCTACAGTAATATAATAACCTACAGTAGTATAATGACCTACAGTAATATAATGACCTACAGTAGTATAATAACCTACAGTAATATAATGACCTACAGTAATATAATGACCTGCAGTAATATAATTACCTACAATAATATAATGACCTGCAGTAATATAATGACCTGCAGTAATATAATAACCTACAGTGATATAATAACCTACAGTAATATAATGACCTACAGTAATATAATAACCTACAGTAATATAATGACCTACAGTAATATAATAACCTACAGTAATATAATAACCTACAGTGATATAATGACCTACAGTAGTATAATAACCTACAGTAATATAATGATCTACAGTAATATAATAACCTACAGTAATATAATGACCTACAGTAATATAATGACCTACAGTAATATAATAACCTACAGTTATATAATAACCTACAGTAATATAATAACCTACAGTGATATAATGACCTACAGTAGTATAATAACCTACAGTAATATAATGACCTACAGTAATATAATAACCTACAGTTATATAATAACCTACAGTAATATAATAACCTACAGTGATATAATGACCTACAGTAGTATAATAACCTACAGTAATATAATGACCTACAGTAATATAATAACCTACAGTTATATAATAACCTACAGTAGTATAATAACCTACAGTAATATAATGACCTACAGTAATATAATAACCTACAGTAATATAATGACCTGCAGTAATATAATGACCTACAATAATATAATGACCTACAGTAATATAATGACCTACATTAATATAATGACCTACAGTAGTATAATGACCTACAGTTCTGACCTACAGTTTCCTTAAAAACAGAGAAGAAGAATCTGATCAGAGTCTCGGTCAGAAACGTTCCTGTCGGCTCTCTGTCTGTTTCTGTGACTTCAGGCCTGATTCTTTTAAAATCCTTTAATTTGTGACGTCGTTTCATCGTTTGACATCAAACCTCGAGTCCTTTCAGACACACACACACACACACACACACACACACACACACACACACACACACACACACACACACACACACCTGTCCTAACACGGGTTTTCATGATAGATGCTTCAGGTTATTTTAAATTTTCTAGTTTTTATATTTTTTTCAGTTTGTTTTCTGTTGTGTTGTTGAGGTCAAAGGTCACATTAAAGGTGGAAAAAGTCGTGAAAATATTTATTCTTGTTATTTTCTTACATGACTAAAACCTCACAGATGAACCAGAGTGTGTCGACTCTTATATCCACTGTTTATCTCTGCATGAACAACCTTATAACAGGAGTGTTTCACTGAATCAGCTTTAATTGATTGAGTTTATCAAGAGTTTCTGCTTCATAAAAGAGTCAAAGTGAAACGAAAGTTCTGACAGAATTAAAGTTAATTCAGAGGAAATGTCTCACTTTGTTAACACTGAAGAGGTACGGAGTGATATCTGTGAGCTGTGTTCGTCTTTTTGATATCAGGATCAAACGAATGTTTAGAAAGTGTCGTAAAGATTTTAAAAGGTTTATAAAATGGAGCCCCAATAGTTTGAACACTAGATGGCAGTATAATCAAACTTTAAAGGCTCAAACTGAAACAGAAAGTAGAGCCCTGATATCAAACTCTAACTCTTACCGTGACTTTAGTTTATAATAAAAGGAAATCCACTCATTAGTTTGTGTTTCAGAGTTTTAATCAGGCCTCAGGTACACCTTTATTCTTACATCCAAACGATCTGATACGTCTAGAGGAGGTCCTGTTCCACCCACACCGTCTTCTTCTGCTCGTCCAGTATCCGGTCTTTGATGACCCGGATCAGATCGTCCATCCCTGCCCAGGCCTCCGGCTCCAGGCTGGCATAGAGGCAGGGGATGCCCTCCAGCTCCTTCTCCTTTGCTCGGCACGATCTCACAAACTCGTCCTCTGACTCCATGCGCAGAGGCAGCTTCCTGTGTGATCAGGAAACAGGAAGGAAGCAGGTGATTGTGGTCATGTTCACAGCCCTGGTGAGATTCTGTAGAAATGTTGCAGCAGCGGTTCATGAGCTTTGTTGTTTCTCAGAGAGATAAAACTGAGTGTCATGGATTCAAAGACGTAAACAGCCATCGTAAACCTCTTTCTGCTCAAACGTTCGCAAACATTTTGCCAAATTTCAGGCCGACACCATCCTGGTATTTTCACACTAAGAGACGATTCTGAGGGTCTCAGGAGGATGCTGACACAGTCACGTAGGGGAACCATGACCGCGCCGCTCCCTCGGTGTCAGTGCAGCAGGATTATTGGTCAGATTCACTCAGAATTCAGTCTTTGGGGGATTTTACAAAGAGGTTGTTGACCAGATAAGGTCAAGTGAAAAAAAAGGTCTGTTAGTGTTCACACATGCAGCCCGCCTGGAAAAACCCAGTTTTCAGGGGGTCGACCTGAGCGTCTGTTGTGGGTGAACTCTGATGGTCTCACCAACAAACCAGCCTGTTGTTTTTTGAGTGAGGTGCCAAATTCTCATCGTGTCACCGAGCTGAGAGGTTACTCACACTGTCTGTAACGTCCGCAGACGCTCACAGAAACAGTTTGAGAGAGTGTTTCAGTGTCCGGATCAGAGTCTGTGGTTTATGACAACGACTGAGGGATCAGGGACCAACCGTAACTTCTTGACGTTCTTCTCACAGATCTTGATGTGGATAATAATTGGGTAGATTTCTCTTCGTAGAAGGTCTTTGATGCAGCTCAGCTCAGCCTCCAGCAGACAGTGTTTTCCCTGGTGACAGGTGGGAGAAACGGATTTCACTGACAGGTACAGACGTCTGCTGTGTAAAGATAAACTGACCCAGAACTTCCAGATTCACCGCTGTCTGCCCAAACACTTCATCTACAGTTTTATTTTCTCTTTACAACAAGAACGTGTGAAACTTTAGACCGAATGTTTTATAAAGTTTTTTTTCTCGTCTGAACTAGTTTAAAACAAAAGAGTTGATGAAGCCTCGCTTTAAGTCTACAAACCAGGATAAACATCTGTTTACTATCGACCACAACAGCAAACGTTTGACTGAACAAGAAGAAGAATGTTGTTGATAACACCGATGCAGACACCAGACAGTCTGAGCGCACGAAGAGCAGGTTAGCTTAAGCTAAAAAAAGGGGGTGGGATCTGCTCCTGGAGTGACGACACATGATGAAGTTAACAGGATGTGTGATTCGTCTCCCTCCTTTTCTTCCTCTTATTTCTCGTGCAGCTCGACCTGGACATGTCTCCATGTCCTCTCCCCGTCCTGCTGCTGCAGCGGCTGAACAGATGATTTGTTTCAGAGATCAGATGAGTTTTTTATATAATATTACAATAATAATATTAATATATTATAATATTATAAATATAATAATCAGTTTTGTGAGTCAAATTTATTTTATATGCCAACATCTATGAAAGAAAGAGCCCGGCCACGGAGCGCCCTCTGCAGCGTTTACAGCGACACTTGTTGAGGGGCTGCCTTCTGTCGCCATCGTGTGGCGTTGTTGTCTTCAGACATCTCTTGATCTCTTTGACTACTAAACAAAAATTGTAATATGTCTCGCCGGCGGCGGATTTAAAGGCGAAGAGAGGAGCGGTTCTGATTGGTGAAAACAGGTGTCGGCTGTGTTAAACCCACTCCACGCCCTCTCTCCTCCCTCTCTACGACTCACGCCGCTGGGAGGAGCTGAGTTAGGGAGGGGGAAACTAACGCCGGGCGGCGCCGCTCACCAAAATACCCAAATCTTCCTTTAGTTTGATTCTCTCTGTTCTGGAGATGTTAGAGTTATAAAACTGAGAGTTATGAACAGATTTACATTTCAGTTATTCGACAGTGAGATGACTGAACGTTGGGTTGAGTCGGTACTTCAAAATAAAAGCTTTTAATAACAAGTTTCAAAATAAAAGGAACTACATTTAGAGGTGAAGAAGAGTTTGAACAGACATTTCTCTGTCTCCACACTAACAAAGTCAAACGTCACCTACCTTGGCAGCGACAGCCTCGATGTTTTCTCGGGTGATGCACTCAAACGTGGCGTGCTTCTCTTTGTAGTGAATGAACGGCTCCACGTTCTGCTTCAGGTAAAACTCGTCTTTGGACAGGATGTCTGCACAGAAATTCAGTTCAAGAATGAAACATAGACAGAAGAGAAATAAACGACTCCCATCCCCATGTGTTTATTTGGATCTCTGCTGTCCCTCAGAGAGTCGGACCTTCTCCACAGTCAGAACTGATGAAGAATCTGATCTGTGAAAAAGCTCCACTGTTATTGACCCACTGAGCTCCAGGAGATGACCCCTGAACTGGGCCATCTCCAGTCCTGCCCCCACCGTCTCTCTAGTTACACTGCTGAACGTTCACTCCTCTCAGTAACTCCATCTCTCAGCTGCGTCCCAGCGGACGCTCTCTTTGTGCTTCTTTCTCTCCTGAACTCTTTTGTTTTCACGTTTACAAAGATGGAGAGAGAGAGAGGACGGAACAGCGGGCGTTTCCTTTGTCATCAGGCTGCTGGTTCCCGTCACACACTGACCTGGTTTGCAGATATTGAAGTCCATGGCTCCCCCCATGTTCAGGATTTTCTGGATGATGGTTTTTGCCAGAGCAGTGGGAGTAAACAGAACCGGTCTTTTCCTCTGGGTCCTCTGAAGGGTGACGAGACTGTAGGGGATCAGGTTCAGACTCCGGCTCAGATCACTGTCCGGGTCAGCAGCTTCTGTTCACAACATACAGACATGAACTGAACTATGAGGGTGATTATTCACTATGTCAGATTAGAAATAAGAAGCTTCATCTAAATGACACCAGTGGAGCAGGAGCTGAGGAGGGAGAGCGGACCTCCAACAACCCGAGGGTTCATGGTTCGATTCCCCCCGTCCTTCATATGTCTGTAGTGTCCTCGGGCAGGACACTGAACCAGAAGGTGTGTGTCCTCCACTGGTGCATCATTATTATTACATTAAATACCATCTTGTATATGAAACCCAAGGCTGCTCAGAGCGGGTCCAGTCTGTGTTCCTGCGTGGCTCACCTTCTGGTTTCTGAAAGACCTCGAACCCTGATCGGGGCAGTGAGGTGCTGCCGGAGTTGATAATCCTCACACGCTCACTGCTGTTCATCCGCTTGTATTTGATATCGACCCGACTGACAAACTGAGACGACAGCAGACACAGAAGGTTTCAGGGTCAGAGGTTCACCGTCTGACGAGAAATAAAGAGTTTATGTTTCTGTACCTGGAGGATCTGAGTGAGGAAGAGTCCTGCTCTGGAGAGTCGAGGGCTGGCTTTGGGATCAGGGGAGGGGCTTAGGTCTTCAGGCTGTAAGCTGTTCTACACACACACACACACACACACACACACACACACACACACACACACACACACACACACACACACACACACACAAAATAAAAACTGTCAAATTCAACACAGAAGATGCCCGTCATCATCATTTTCCTCATCAACCCTGTTTATTACGATCTTCATCATCATCATCCTCATCATCAGTAACTGCAGAATGGTTCACACACACACACACACACACACACACACACACACACACACACACACACACACACACACAGAGTCGGTCTTGTTGTGACGGCGGCACCAGGTGCCTTTCACTGGTATAACAGACAGGTGGGTGTAGACCTGCATGAGGGACTGCAGGTAAGAAGGAGCTGATTTGGTTAAAGAGGCGGAGCTTTATACTTGATCTAGGCCGGGGCGGGCGACCATATGATGGAGGGCCGAGAGGCCGCAGGTTTTCTTTTTTACAGTGGAGTGACATGATATTTTGGTGTTGGTTGAAAACCAGGCAGGCTGCTACATTTCAGACCATCTCTGGAGGTTTGTGGATGAGGGCGGGCTGTCAGTGAGGAGATCCTTCATCTTCACCTCTCTGACCTTCATTTGAAACGCCGCACATGTTATATTATTAAATATTATATTATATTATATGTTCCAGCCTTTTCTTTTCCTCTGATTTTGAATATTTTAATTTTGTATTTATTTTTATTGTTCCTTTTAACTCTCTTTCACTCTTCTTCTTCTTCTTCTTCTTCTTCTCCTTTTTAGTTTTACTTTGATCTGGAAATGGAGAAGCTCTCCACTGTGATTGTACTCCAGAATAATGACGATCATGGACGCTCTGACTCTGAATATAAATAATTATCTTTGACTGTAAATGAATTGTTGGTTGAAGAGGTTTCTTACTCTGCTGCTGCGGTGGTGATTCTCGCTCTCTTCTCTCCCGCCTCGACACACTAACCTCTGAATCTTCACGAGGAGCAGCTGCTGGGCCCTGAATCCACAGACAAACACAGATTTATGTTCTGAACCTCAGAGCGTCAGAAAACTCAGATTCACTCCATTAAAATATAACAACATAAAAGTTAGTTTTTCACACTGTTACTTCCTGTGTTTTTGGTGACAATAACAACGACAGGCTGCGGGTCTCCAGCTTCTCCAGGTGAACTGCATGTTTGTGAGTTAACAGGTTGAACAGAGTTCAGTATAAACAGATTTAAAGCCCCGGAGACCCCGGAGGACATTTGCATAGCTGTTCAACTGTCACAGTTCCTCATGCTCTAAAACTCGCAGCACTAAAGCAGAATAGAAGCATCAGGCTCATTTACATCAGGGTTCGAATGGTCTGTGGTACCTCTCTGTCACAGTAACATGGAAACACAGGAGGGTCATATTTAACACCAGCTCTTCTTTTACAGGAAGCTCCTCTGTACCGTGAGTTGCTGGGTATGGTGCCTCGGTCAGGGAGGTCGGAGCCGCTGTACGGGTCCACACGAGTGCAGATCCACTCACAGCGGCCCTGGTGCCAGGTGTCCAGGACATGCACCACCTCATCGCATCGCACACTCAGAGAGCAGGTCTCTGATTGGCCTGAAATGTTGAGGTTGACCCGGATGTAGAAAGAGTCTCCGGAGGCCAGTGTTCCCTCTGCCAAGTCCCTCTGAAGACGACGGAAGGCTGGAGCACAAATGTACAACTTATTACTCTGAATATTTAATAATAATAATAATAATAATATAACAGTATTTAATAATAATAATATAACAGTATTTAATAATAATAATAATAATAATAATAATGTAACAGTATTTAATAATAATAATATAACAGTATTTAATAATAATAATAACAGTATTTAATAATAATAATAATATAACAGTATTTAATAATAATAATAACAGTATTTAATAATAATAATAATAACAGTATTTAATAATAATAATAATAATAATGTAACAGTATTTAATAATTATAATATAACAGTATTTAATAACAATAATAATAATAATAATAATAATAATAATAATAATAATAATAATAATGTAACAGTATTTAATAATAATAATAAAACAGTATATAATAATAATAGTAACAGTATTTAATAATAATAATAACAGTATTTAATAATAATAATAATAATAATATAACAGTATTTAATAATAATAATAATAACAGTATTTAATAATAATAATAACAGTATTTAATAATAATAATATAACAGTATGTAATAATAATAATAATAATATAACAGTATTTAATAATAATAATATAATAGTATTTAATAATAATAATAATAACAGTATTTTATAATAATAATATAACAGTATTTAATAATAATAATAATAATATAACAGTATTTAATAATAATAATAATAATATAACAGTATTTAATAATAATAATATAACAGTATTTAATAAAAATAATAATAATAACAGTATTTATTAATAATAATAATAATAATAATAATAAAACAGTATTTAATAATAATAATATAACAGTACTTAATAATAATAATATAACAGTATTTAATAATAATAATAATATAAGAGTATTTAATAATAATAATATAACAGTATTTAATAATAATAATAATATAAGAGTATTTAATAATAATAATATAAGAGTATTTAATAATAATAATAACAGTATTTAATAATAATAATATAACAGTATTTAATAATAATAATAATAATAATAATAATAACAGTATTTAATAATAATAATAATAATAATAATAATAATAATAATAATAACAGTATTTAATAATAATAATATAACAGTATTTAATGATAATAATAATAATAATATAACAGTATTTAATAATAATAATAATTATAATATAACAGTATTTATTATTATTAATAATAATAATATAACAGTATTTATTATTAATAATAATAATAATATAACAGTATTTAATAATAATAATATAACAGTATTTATTAATAATAATAATAATAATAATAATAATAATAATAATAATATCACAGTATTTAATAATAATAATAATAATAATAATAATAATATAACAGTATTTATTTATAATAATAATAATAATAATAATAATATAACAGTATTTAATATTAATAATAATAATAATATAACATTATTTAATAATAATAATATAACAGTATTTATTAATAATAATAATAATAATAATAATAATAATAATAATAATAATAATAATAATAATAATAATATAACAGTATTTATTAATAATAATAATAATATAACAGTATTTATTAATAATAATAATAATAATAATAATAATATAACAGTATTTATTATTGTTAATAATAATAATATAACAGTATTTTATAATAATAATAATAGTAATAATATAACAGTATTTATTAATAATAATAATAATAATATAACGGTATTTATTAATAATAATAATAATAATAATATAACAGTATTTAATAATAATAATAATATAACAGTATTTAATATTAATAATAATAACAGTATTTATGACGACTTCATCAGACAAACAGGAGGAGTTTGTTCAACGGTCAAAGAGCACAGAAACAGGAGCTGTAATCGTGTTTTACTGTGAGGTGTTTTAATGTCACTTTGACTCAGTCGGCGGTTAGGCGATCAGACGGACATCTTCTTTAAAGTTATTTTAGAGTGTGAAACTGCTGCTTCAGGGGAGGTGTCAGAAAAAGTGGTTAACGGCGAGCCGCCGAAACAGACGCCTCAGAACTCAGAACCTTTTCAGCTGCTGAGATGCATGATGGGGGATTTATTTGCCTGACAGCAGGATGTGGTGTGTTTTTGAGGACACCGGCCAAGATCAGCAAAGGGATACGGGGAATTGATCAAACTGATCGAACTGATCGAACTGATCGAACTGCAAACCATAAAACCCCTACAGTATCTTTAAGGTATTCTGTTTCCATCAGCAAGGAACAGAGTGGTGACAAAGTTAACAGTGTTGTCCTTTTATTTAACCCTAACCCCTTACAAACACACATATATATTTATATTTCAGAGTACTACAGTATACTGTGTTTAACTCAGTATGCTTTCAGTTTACTCTATACTGCTCACTGCCCCCTGATTTTTAAAACGACGCAGAGATTCCTCCAGTGAATTACAGTTTTGAACCTTTAAAAGAGTTTGAAATCCCAAAGTTTCAGCAGGTGTAAAATCATACGAAGTACAACAGCCTAGTATCTACGGTGATGAACCAACACTTACTGTCATAGTTGGCTCTATAGTGCAGCTGGACTGGTCCAGAGCAGTGCTGCAGCGTCCAATGGGCTTCCTCCTGAGTACTGGTGTCCAATGAAACACTTTGGTTTTCACCACGGATGCACCCCTCGAGCTAGTGAGCCAATCACAGCACAGAAACATTCACAAACGTATAAATACTCATCATGTTTTTATGACTCCAGGATTTTAAGTGCTCAGTGATTTTTAACAACAACATCACGTACCAACAGGAGATGGTGGCCCTCTCGAAGCCCCGCCTTCTCAGCGTTTGAGCCTGGCTGGACTGACGAGATGAAAATCCCGCTCTCGTTCCCCCCGACCAGAGTGATCTCCTTCATCAGGTTATCACCGAGTAACGACAGCTCCTGAACGGGTTTTAGAGAAGCGCTGATCCTCGAGAAGGAGGAGAGAGACGGACGAAACGGCCTACCAGAGGACAAAGACAGAATCACATCAGCTGACTGTTTTTGGGGTTTTAATTTCTTCGTTTATATTCACACTGACATCAGGAACCTAAACGCAGGAACACGAGGTTGTAAAGCAGTGAAAAAGAGAACCGGATCACTGAAACGGTCCCACATCACCGAGGATGAGAACCTTTAAAAAGTCCAAACTCTGACAGGGAATTTAATAACTCATCAACTTCTATCAGACACAAGCTCGTTAAAGTCATCAACCACACTAACGAGCTCCGACCACGAGATATGAAGCTCAGAGCAGCTCCTGATACCTGATACCAGGACTC